TAAAAAGGAGATGAGGGGATCATCTCAAACAATTCCTCAGAGCACTCTCCATGGAACATACGATACAAAATACAGAGGGAACCGAAGTCCCTCCGCAGACCCAGAGGTTCCAAACGATCCGTGTTTACCGTCTATTTTATAGTATTATTCATCTTTTTCCTTCATACGTGTCTTTAAGTGGGCGGCAGAACTCACAATGAATAAGTGTTTGAATTTATTAGATATTCGTATTCTTTAGAAAGGAAATGTGTGTATGTGTGTATATTATTCTTGAATACATAATAATACCACATCCAATATACAGTTAGCTTCATGTACATGTCGTGACGGGGAAGTGGACGCAATCACTGCACTTTCCAACTGTAAGGTGCGTTTTCACTAATGCATTTAAACTGTTTTGGTCTTTTTAATAATAATCGCAGCATATACCGTGTTTTTACTCTTCCGCTCATTGTGATTGTGATTTTTTTTATATACTATAATAATATAAAACCGTGGGCTACTCCTAAATTCAATATATGTTTATGATAATTATATTTTAAAGTCATCGTGGCCTAGAGGATAAGACGTCCGGTGCATTCGTATCTAGCGATGCACCGGTGTTCGAATCCCGCAGGCGGGTACCAATTTTTCTAATGAAATACGTACTTAACAAATGTTCACGGTTGACTTCCACGGTGAAGGAATAACATCGTGTAATAAAAATCAAACCCGCAAAATTATAATTTGCGTAATTACTGGTGGTAGGACCTCTTGTGAGTCCGCACGGGTAGGTACCACGGCCCCGCTTATTTCTGCCGTGAAGCAGTAATGCGTTTCGGTTTGAAGGGTGGGGCAGCCGTTGTAACTATACTGAGACCTTAGAACTTATATCTCAAGGTGTGTGGCGCATTTACGTTGTAGATGTCTATGGGCTCCAGTAACCACTTAACACCAGGTGGGCTACTCCTAAATTCAAAATATATTTATGATAATTATATGTATATCATATTTATTATCCATACTAGTATTTTAAATGTAAAAATTTTGTACGCTTTGATGTTTGATACTCCATAATGAAAACTCGACTGAGTGCCTTTGGGTGAAATTTTATAAATACTTATAGCCAGAATTATCACAGAAAATAATTTTACATATTCACATCATATTCTAAAAGGTCGATACAGCGATTACTGGCAAGTAAGTGTAATTCAATTTGGTTCATCAGTTTTAGTGAGAAAGCGGCTTATTCCGGTCTATTCTCGGGAATTCTTTAACACCGATGGCCGTGCCTCTAATATCGTAGAAGACACCGAGGAACTCGTGGAAAATGTCTATTAACCCTCCTTTTGTATGGGGATTAAAGAGATTTTCTTTTAGTTTAGATCTTTAATTCATTTCACGGGAGATTTATAAGAATTGAATTTCGAATCCGAAGAGGCTTAAGAGCTGGAGGAAGTTTATTTCCCTATCAACAGCATTACCGCCACCAAATTTTAGTCCTGGTACCAGAAACCAATGTGTTCATCAACTACTCTTGTTGGAATATTGGATCAAGAGTGGCCTCAGGGAGGCATTTGTTGTGTCAGTGACAGTGCAGGCTTCAGCATTTCCATTTAAGTCGACAGTGACGTAACAAAGTCAATGCCACCAGCCTCCATGAGTTATCCGTGGAAGTCTCAATTTCATAGGAATAATGCAACCTTAATAACTTCACCATCGCCGTTCAAATCTCTACACTGGGTGGTACGTAGCCTTTTTTTAATGCTTGAATGAGTGAACGGACTCATAGTCCACCTTGAGACATGAGTTAGAACAATAGATGCCTCATCCTTCAAGTCGAGAAGCTGCTTCACGGCTTAAATAGGCGGGGTGATGGTACATAACCGTGCGAGCTCACATGTCTCTCTACCTCCAGCAAAAGCCCTAACACCAGACTGGCCAAGTACTTCTCTAACTGGATCTTTAGTTTGTTTTCTCTCTCCAGTTCTTCACGACAGCGGCCTTGAAGACTTCAACATCACTAAAACAGTCAAGATTGTGAAAGTAAGTGGAGCGGTTTTTAATACCAATTCCCTACGTTCATTTCTATACGTTGATCTTTAAAATAATGTATATCTGCTCCAATATCAGAACATAATACAGTCATAGGACTACTGGTGGTAGGACCTCTTGTGAGTCCGCACGGGTAGGTACCACCACCCTGCGTATTTCTGCCGTGAAGCAGTAATGCGTTTCGGTTTGAAGGGTGGGGCAGACGTTGTAACTATACTGAGAGATATATATACCTTAGAACTTATATCTCAAGGTGGGTGGCGCATTTACGTTGTAGATGTCTATGGGATCCAGTAACCACTTAACACCAGGTGAGCTGTGAGTTCGTCCACCCATCTAAGCACTAAAAATTAATGAGAAAACATAAGTTACGTCCTGCTTGTTAAGCTGAGACGCTTCTGAATCTATTTGAGGTGGCATGAATAGCATGATCGATCTAATCAAACCGCGCAGACTAGGCTTGCGTGCTCGGCTATATGTACGCTACCTAATGTTATCTAGACGCCATCCTTTTTTCTATTAATATTCTAGCACATTATCTATCATTCAGTCTTTTATCTAGGTCACAGAAAATATAACAAATATTATTAGTATCGTGATTAATTCTTAACTGTCATGAATGTGTAAGGGAATATTAGTCTAATTTGTTTTTTGGCTCACGACGTTCAAAGCATAAACACAAGCAAAGCCTCGTGTTTTAAATTTATTTATGACATCAAGACTCACTGCCTTCATTCAAAGTACCTTTTCAGATATTATTTGTCTGAAGGCTGTGACATATCTTTCTTCAATTGAGGTTTGCGGAGAGTAGTCAACGCTACGCTATGACTTGGCTGGTATGGCAGATGTCTTGCCTACAATGTCAATATTTTTTTTTTAAATATAAAATATGCTAGCTTCGGATAATTAATCGTGCATATTACATGATAGTTGTGCTATTCCAGCTCATGCTCGTGTCCTCGGTGATGCTGCGAGACATCAGCCAATATATACCTCGGAACATAGTCAAGTAGTCCTATATGATGATTAATCAGTAGGAACGATCACATGATCCCCTACTTATTGCTAATACTTCTTCATTAGCCGCCTGTAGTGGTACTATTTTCTTCTGATTCTTGTTTTAATCTCTTGCTAACTCAGGTTGGTAGCGCGATATTACCACAATCTGGAATTCCACTATAATTCTAATGCAATTCTAATTCCCAACTATAGGCTCGAGTGGAATATCAACTTTACCAATATGCAAATAAATGTAAGTAAGATCTACTTCGATATATTGTAACCAAAAAATATGAATCAAACAGACCTAAAGCCGTTATTGAACAAGACAAGACACGAGTACCTCGGCTGCAACTATGCCACTTGAAATAGACTCGAGTCAACGGCCCTTGAACGTTTTCTTGAATCTAATAAGGTAGTCTAGAAAGTTCGAGGAGCTGCAGAGCCCTCCAATGTTTTAAGAGAATTTGAAATATTGCGCAACAAGAACTGTTTAGCAGAACGATCGTAAACTTAATTTAATGAACCAGTAATTTCCACACTTCGCTGTGACTATCGGTAAATGTCTGAAATGCATTAAAAGTAATATGCAGTAAGCAACTTTTTTTTTTATTACTTATTGCTAAATGGTTACTGGAGCCCATAAACATCTACGGCGTAAATGCGCCACCCACCTTGAGACATCAGTTCTAAAAGGCCTCAAGTATAGTTACAACAGCTGCCCCACCCTTGAAACCCAAACGCATTGCTGCTTCACGGCAGAAATAGGCAGAGTGGTGGTACCTACCCGCGCGGATTCACAATATGTCCTACCCCCAGCAAAAAGAGCTAATTGGTCGAAGCATTACTGACGTCCATAACCGCCGGAAACTGCATTATCATTAGGTGAACCATATGGTCGTCGGTCTACAAGACCAATAAGAGTAAATAGGTAATACAGGACGGGGATGATCCTGGTACCAGATCGAGTCACGTACAGTCCCTAACGTTTGAAGATCGCACAAAAAAAACTCAGATATACTCAATAATAATGCTCATATAGACATAGGTCCCTTCGATTTCATGATTTTACACATGTTGTAAGAAAGCATTCGAGAGGATTACAGTTCCTTTTTGGTAAAATCATGCACAAAATTATTTAAATAAAATCTTGTAGAAGCATCAACTACAGCAAAAATCTTGTTATACCTTGTTTACTGTCACAAATCCATGATACGTTCCGGTTTTAAGAGTGGCATAGCCGTTATATAATAAAACTGGGACTTCCACCTCTTCCATATCTTGAGGCGAGAGGCGGTATTCTCGTAAGCGGTGCTTATATGTTGTGTGTGTCTGTGTGTGATGTCCAGTGCCATTAACTTTGTAATACGAAGTGGACTTTGAACTTGTTCAACAATATCGTGCAATAAAAAAGCGGTCACTGAAGCCGTAACAATAAATCTTCTCCTAATTCCAATCTCTGGAACTTGTGCTAGAGTCTGCAAGGATTAGTAAGTACATTCTGTCACAGAGTTAATAAATATTTTCTTTGTTACCATGTTGGTCGTGGTCTATCTCTTAGATATTAGTGCAAAAAAACTGTTCTTGTGTTATTGATTTTAAATTATATTCATATAGCTTACCATAATCAAATATAAATTCCAAGTTGTAGCGTTAACTCTATTTAAATGGCTCAAATGATTGACTCTACAATTCGAAACGGTCATAAAATCGTAAGAAACTATATTAAAACATGATTTACTAATCAAAAGTAAACAGTGTCGGCAGAGAGATATACACAATAAACGTGCAGTAAATATTAGAGATCCTTCAATATTATACTACAAAGTTTATGAAGTCGTAATATAGACACATTTAAAATAAGGTTCCACGAAATTGTGGGAGTACTATTACGGGAAGATATCAATGCAAAATAAAGAAGTGTACAGAAGAAAATAAAGTGCTTACAATTTCTAGAGAACCAAACCATGGTAATATTGAGGTTATTCTTAGTCTATTTGGCCGTGAACTTTGTGGACCTCGTTGGAGAAAAGGCATTCCAGGCATGTCAACAATACGGTCAAACCATGTTGGAGTGCCACAACATTCTATACCCCTCAGCTAGAGTGAGAATTCCAATTGACATTCTCTTATACCCACACATGGTCCTCATTGGGTTTAGAAAGGAAATTCAAGACGCACCAGTCTGGAAATGTGGTGGAACTTTGATCAGTAACACTTGGGTTCTAACAGCAGCTCATTGTGCTGAGGACCCGCATGAAGGACCCGCCAGTGTATTAAGAGTTGGTACAGCGACCTTCGAATTTGATGAAGTGGATGAACTTGCCCAAGAACGAACCGTACTTAAGGTTATCTCCCATCCACAATACGAACCTCCTTCGAAATATAATGATATAGCGCTAATGAAGGCTAATCCTCCCTTCCTATTAACAAGAGATATTAGAATAGCTTGCCTCCCATCTGATGATAAGGAGAATTATAAAAGTTTGACTGCAACAGGATTTGGCGTCACTTATTCCGGTGCGATGAAAGGCAGCGAGACTCTCATGAGTGTGGATGTAAGTATAGTTAACCGGAGTTTCTGTAACCAATCGATGAAATACTTGATCAAGAGGAAGATTTTGGCTCGTGGGATAATCGAAACTCAATTATGCGCTGGTGATTTTGAGCACGGCGGTAAAGATACGTGCCAGGGTGATTCGGGCGGCCCTCTCCAAGTAATGGAAGACGGAGTGGACTGTATTCACACGTTCCCTCTGCACACAGTGGTAGGAGTGACATCTTTCGGACGGGATTGCGGAAGAAAACTGTCTCCGGGAATTTATACTAAAGTATCTGAATACGTCGAATGGATTGAAGGCATCGTTTGGCCGTGAAGTCAACGTGGAGCGTGCGTTGTAACGAATCGATCTGTAGTGTGAAGTAACGCCGCTACGTTTATCGATAGCTTTAGTGTTAATTACATATTATTATGTGTTTGAGAAGAGTGTTTAGAATAAATATTTTCTTAATACTATATATTAATACGTGAAGCAAAAACTTTGTATCCCTTTTTACGAAAATTGCGCGGACGGAGGAGTATGAAATTTTCCACACTTATAGAGAATATAGAGAAGAAGTGCACAATGCTAATTTTTTTTTTAAATAATGCATAAAAGATACATTAAATCAATAAAGAAAACATTACACACACTACATTCCATGTATTTGACGCACACACGCATGCATACTATTTATTGTCAAACTTTTGTTCTTGACGTCTGTTGTCAAGTTGAGAATAGATTAAATATTGTTTGTCTTTATTAATATTTTTTTATAGGGTAGCCTTGGCGAAATTTGTGATTATAGAAGTATAAAATACAATCATAATAGTATACAAACTTACAATTCCAATTAATTATAGTCGAATTTCGACTACTGCAGGACCTCTAGTTTACATAGATGTGTATATCGAAATTTAATTAAATATAATTTTAAAATTCCCCGCTGGGGGTTATGTTGTTGCATCCATCTCTCATTGTCTCTGCATCCCCCTCCCTCTGATGGGAGTGAATGAAACGGCATATAGTATACAGCTTTAGTTTTGGAAATAAAGGATCAATGAATTCACGGCTCCGTGTATTAGGGAACTCGCAGAATCCCCAGACCTGAGGTGCATGGAAAACTTATGTAGCTCCTCAGTTGAATAGCAGAACTGCCGTGCAGGTATTATCAATATAGAGGCCCTAGATTCACTTTGGAATGAAGCACTATATGATTGTGTGCAATCAGGCAATATGTACATATACTTACAAATGTTAATATCGTTATTAAAGAGCGGTTTTATATACGGATCCTAATCCATTTCAAGCCCAATTTGTAACTATTTATAAGTATAAAGATTGTTAATAGTATATTAATTCTAATAAAACATAAGAATCTCGTTAATTGTAAAATTGGTTGACTATCATTACTACCCTTACATTATCTGTTTGGTTTGTTCAAATTATTCGTACGCAAAAAGTCGTATTATAATATAATAATATGTCAGAAACTTTGTTTTATTGTTGGTAGGACCTCTTGCGAGTCCGCACGGGTAAGTACCACCACCCCGCCTATTTCTGCCGTGATGTCTATGGGCTCCGGTAACCACTTAATACCAGGTGGGCCGTAAGCTTATCCACCTATTTAAGCTATAAAAAACCTTACTTGAAGTTTCAACAACTATTCAAATGCAATCACATACACAACGTACACAAGCAAAGAACAAACAATCAAACAAAGCCATTTCCAGATCACGCACAGTGTGAAATCAGGACGAAGCGATTATCCTGGGGGGGGGGTGCATTTCTGTGACGTACCAAGGAACATCTGGGGAAGTTTGTGCGAGTTTGGAAATGGGTTGTTTGTAATCTAAGACGACAAATCCGTATTTAAATTTGTATTTCGATCTACGATGCTTGTTCTAAGAAAAAACGGAGGACGTATCAAATATGTATTTATCTTTTTTATAATTTGCTTTCTATATTGCATCACGAATATAGGGATTTACTTTAGTACTTAGTAATAATAATTTAATATACGTAGCTTCAATATTTCGGTGAATCGAATGAGTTTTTTTTTTTATTGCTTAGATGGGTGGACGAGCTCACAGCCCACCTGGTGTTAAGTGGTTACTGGAGCCCATAGACATCCACAACGTAAATGCGCCACCCACCTTGAGATACAAGTTCTAAGGTCTCAAGTATAGTTACAACGGCTGACCGGCCGGCTTCACGGCAGAAATAGGCAGGGTAGTGGTACCCACCCGTGCGGACTCACAAGCGGTCCTACCACCAGTAATTACGCAAATTATAATTTTGCGGGTTTCATTTTTATTACACGATGTTATCCCTTCACCGTGGAAGTCAATCGTGAACATTTTGTTTTGTTTTTCCAATTTACCAGAGCAGAGCAGGTACCACTTACGGCCCACCAGATGGTGAGTGGTTACCGTCGCCCATGGACCTCAGCAATGCCAGGGGCAGAGCCAAGCCGCTGCCTACCAATAAACCAATGTACCAGTGTTAATGCTCGTGAGCAGTCACCGCTTAATAATAAAATATTTAGGGTTCTTTTATCATGAAAAATAAAATAAAAAATGCCTTATCCTTCGTAATACGTATAAAATATTTGTAATGTATATAAATTCTTACTTGACTGAAGATTGGATCGCGTCTATCAGGCGTCTACTTATCAGACAACCGAAGTCTATATAATTGTAAGACCAAAACAGTTTCTTAGTTTTATTGTCCAGAATATCATCACTACTTCTCTTCCCGTAAAAAACGACTAAAGGATTCACAGGAGAATGGTTTTCCAAAGTATTATGCCAGCATATCGCGATCTTTTTAACTGTAAAACCGCCACCGACCGGCCTATTTCGGCCTCTAAGCAAGCCTGAGTTTCTGTTGAAATGGTGAGACACTTATTACGTATCATAATTGAGACTTCAGCCCTACATCTCAAGGTAGGTGGGGGCTTCATTGTATGCTCCAACGGACTGTCCCATGCTTCCAAATATACTTTTTTCGAGTGCTTAGAAAAAAAACCCATATACTGTTCGTATCTTGATGCGTTTCCTCAGTCTCCATACTTCCGTAATCCGATGTGCAAAGGTTGAAGTCAGAACTTGATAGGTCGTCTTCTGACAACGATGTCTCCGCGAGAACTAAGCCATCCTGAGGCACTTATTATGAATCATAATTGAGACTTCTGTCCTTATATCTCAAGGTAGTGGCTTCATTGAAGCTGCAACGGACTGTCCCACGATTTCGAACATTCTTTTTCGGATTATTTAAAAAAGAAGATGTGTGGTGTCGTGGGACGCCGGATAGGAACGAAGTTTCTTATTATAAAAATATGTATTAATTTTAAGTTATATTCGAGATATAAAGAAAACTTAACTGGAGGTTTTGCAACAACCCACGATCATTCGGTAACGTGCGAACTTATTGTGGTACACTTCATTAACGGTTACAAAGTTAACGACTTAACTTTGTAATAACGTACAAAAAAGAACATATTTTTTAACGACTTAACTTTGTAATAACGTACAAAAAAGAACATATTTTTTTATCATTCATTGACCCCGATCTTAGAGCGTTCGTTTGCGCAATACACTAACTCTTATGCAAACGACTACACTGTGTGCATTACTAATATAAATCTTACGTTACGGACGTTTTTTTCCTGTTAGAGTACCCCTCCGCATTGTCCCTTAAGGAACTTCGTTCCAAAAACCATAGTACTATTCGTATGTTAGGGCGCTTCTTTCGTAGTCCGACGTGCAAAGCTTAAAGTCCGAAACTCGAACGGTCGTCTTCTGGTAACGAAGTCTCCGCGAGGAGCCCGCATCATTAGCAATAAAAACAAAACTCAGCGAATAAAATCACATACCCGACGACTTCATAAACGCGGGAACGTAAAAAAGTATTTTACCTGAAACAAAGAAAAAAAAATCATGAAAAAGGTTTCACGTCTCGCCCTCGGGGGGCGGGCGGGGAAATAAGAAATATGTAAATGTCACATGGGAGAGGACAGATGCGAATCTTCAAGGATTCCAAGGTCTTAGTGATCGAGCGACAGAGTGTTGTGTTAGGTCAGAACTTTGAAGCTCGCAGGTAAAAATGCAATGTTTCTTAATCAAAATTACAAACCTTCAATTTTATCCAGAGTTCTATTGCAAATAGTTTATTTTTATATTTTTATATTTTTACTGGTGGTAGGACCTCGTGTGAGTCCGCACGGGTAGGTACCACCACCCTGCCTTGTTTCTGCCGTGAAGCAGTAATGCGTTTCTGATTGAATGGCAACCGTTGTAACTGTACTGCGACCTTAGAACTCACATCTCAAGGTGGGTGGCAGCATTTACATTGTAGATGTCTATGGCCTCCAGTAACCATTTAGCACCAGGTGGGCTGTGAGCTCGTCCAACCACCTAAGCAATAAAAAAAATAAAAAGTAATGATGCGTTTACTTGAAAGATACCGTACTTGTTTTTCTAATGTAGAAGAGCTTTCATGTAACTCTATTGTGTGAACAGAGCCCATAGACCGCAACGCGAACCTCATATCCACCTTAGTGTCTGAATGCCCCGTAATACAAATTGGAAAGCATGACGACTGCTTCGTGGCGGAAACAAGCTGGATGGGTGTTTTATTTTTTTTCTTTTCTCAAATAATCAGGTTATGCTGAAGTTTAGTAAAACGCTTCCTCTTATAAAAACGCTATCGCTTATACAATATGGTGTGCAGTTAAACGATAACGGCAGGTTTCGCGTCCACTTACAGTTATCCTGCTGTATCCTTCTGTTTATGTTTCGGGTTATTTTCATTGTTTTAGGGCTGAAGTCAGCCTATTTAAAATTAATTGTTTGGCATTTAAAAATCTCTGGTTTTGTGGAACACTTAGCGTAAGCCAACGATAAGATGAGATGTAGAAGTAGTGACATGAAGAGGTTTTTTTTATTGCTTCGATTGGTGGACGATCTCACGGCCCACCTGGTGCTAAGTGGTCACCGGAGTCCATAGAACGTACGTCAAAGCCGCCACCTATCTCGAGACATGAGTTCTAAGGACTCAGTTTTTACAGAACAACGACTGCCCCACGCTTCAAACCGAAACGCATTACTACTTCACGGCAGAAATAGGCAGGGTGGTGGTACCTACCCGTGTGGACTCACAAGACGTCCTACCACCAGTAAAAAGGGCCGGGCTAGTATTATTTATTTTTTTAGTATTAAATATCCACTGTCTTGAAGAAACAAACATTTCTTGTTTGCAAACAATTGGTGCGGTAGAATAATAAAATAGATTCATTCAAATATATAACGAAAATATTCAAACATTATGGTAAATTTTCAAATATCAAATCGCATGTCATTTAGACGCGATATCCGGAAAAACAAAACTATATCCAGCCAAGAATCCAATCTAGACCCAGTACAAGAAAGATATACACCTCATAGGGCATGCTATAATTATTCGATTAACATAATTGCTGTTTGTAATAATAACCATATTATAATTAGTCGATTATACTTCTTGTTGTTTGTAATAACATTGCGCAAAATAAAGAACAAAGTGTTGAATTAGCGAGCAGAAGTTAGTTTTACGTGCTTTGAAAGATCTCTATCATTCGAAATCTTACAGCCCTACACTTGCCTCCAAGGGATCTTAGCTTATGTTTTAAATTTCTTAGTATCTACAAAACCGCTTTGAATGCGGCGAATATCCAACAAATGAAAGATGCTTATAACATTTTCTTTGAAGTACCTGATAGCGCCGCTTCCTCTGTGCAAGAACCAGAGTTGCAGCAAGTACTCCGGTGATGTTATACAAATTATTCCAAGGTCGTAGATCGGAAAACCAAGAGATTGATAATCTGGTTATAAAACTAGTTGAGTAAACTAAATGTGACCAAAATCCCATCGCGCAAGACATTGCTCAACGGAAATGGCGTTGGATAGGACACACTCTACGGCGCAGCGGAGTCAACGCAGCATCAATCGCGTTTGAGTGGCAACCGCTTGGCAGGAGAAGACCTGGTCGCCCTGTACACACTTGGCGACGCACCGTAGAGAGTGAGATGAGGACTGCCAACGTGACCTGGAGTGATGTCAAGGAGCAAGCGCAAGACAGGGTAAAGTGGAGACAACNTTTATTTTATCAAATACATTAAAACCAATAACAACTGAGACTTACCTTTAATATATATGATGGTTCAAACACTAAATAACGTTTATAAATCACAGTCGTCTTCTATTATTATCAAATAAATAAAAGAGAGCAAAGTTTCTAGCACTAAAATAATGACTACCACAGGAAGTTAATTTGAAACGCGATTTTTTATAAGTTATCAGCTATTATCATGCATATTCAGAGTTGTTTTGTGAACTTTCAACATTCTACTATTAAACTACAAAAAATGGAAGATTTTGCAACGAATATAAAACTAATATTGAGCGTCGAAAGATTTTCCCGGTTTTTTCCCGATTCGCCTCTCAATCCCTAATCGCCCCATTTTACCGGTACTGTACAGTAACTGTAAGTACCTAGTAGTAGTTTTATTTTTCCAACTGAGAAGGCAAAGGTATAATACCATAAAGTCTCTTTCTGGTCGTTCCCTCAATGCTGAGGATCGTGACTGTATGTCAATCTTCTCCACTCGGTCCGGTTCTGCGTCATATGTACCGCTCCTTGTATCTGGCCTCCAGTAGCCTCCTTGAGTTGGTCCACCCAAAATAATCCACCTAAAAGTCCACCTAAAATTAGATCCATACAGCCTATTCTTTTATATATAATGCATTTTATATGAAAAATTATATAATGAAAAAAAGTTGATTAATTTAATTAATATGAAACATGGCATGAAATGAAATTAAATGAGATGAAATGATATGGGATGAAATATAATCTCAGTAAAATGGTGGACATTTACTGAAATTAAAATAAGACATGACTTAATGGTCTTAGTTACCAGGTCGTAAAATCCCATAAAAATCTATTTTGTTTTATCTGTCTCCACTTTTTATGTTTTTCAATGGACGAAATAGACAAGTTAAAGTAGATAAACGACGCGTACTTGACTTGGTGCGACTGAATATATTTAAGTTAGACACTTATAAACCAATGTTATTTTCTTAAAAGTCAAAATGATAAATAGTTATGACAGATTAGTTAAATCGTAAAGCCTAAACCGTAAACTTCATCAATTACCATTTAATTTTATGGAGGTTACCATCTAACGTAGCGCAAATATAAACTTTTCAATAGTATTTCGGGCTATCTCCAACTGCGAAATGGATGTCGTGGAAAACTCTGTGTGTTCTACTGTAGAAGATAACGAAAAGATTAAAAACACTAATACAGATAGAGAAGAGATCGTCCAAACTTCGGGAGGATCTAATGTGTGTCAGAAAACGAACGGCGTCGCTGAGACCGACGAGTCCGCTGTAGATTGTTCAGTTCCTGCAGAGGTTTTAGAAATCGCTGTGATTAACCCAGACATTGAAGTTCAATGTGAAAATAATCAAGATGAAGTCATTCCAGATCCTGGCAATTCAGAATCAGTCGTCAATGACACAAGTGCTTCAGACATAATACCATGCGAATGTGATCCTGCACCAGTAGTAGCTGCTGCTATTCCTACAGATACAGATTCCAATGAAAACAATGTTGAAAAGTCACTTTCTGAAGTACTGGATCAAGAAGTAGAGAGCACAGTTGAACTGGAGAGTGTGGTAGATATAGGCTCTGACAGGGTCGCTTTTGAGACTGAGATCCTAGTTGAAGAAAATGTAAATGATTCAAATGAATCTAAGATTGATGAAATTGTTAAATTAAGACAGGGAACACCTGACCTTTTGAATGAATTAGATCAAAATATTGAATTTAGTGAAGCATTACGCTCAACTGACATTACTGGAAATGGAGTCAATAATAATACTACACCTGTAGAAGAAGTATATAATAAAAAAGAGTTATTGGATATTTTGAAGGGTAATGATGCTGAAGAATGTAAACCTGTCATCACTCGTATCAGTGTAGATAAATTGACTGAAACAGAAAAAGCCCTTCAACAACTGTCACGTCTTAAGAAACAAAAAAAAACTAAAAGTAATGTGAAAGTATCAATCAGGTGCAAGAGTGAACGCAAAGAAATAGTTGCTAAAAAAGAACCAGAGGTAAAAAAAGAATACAGTATAGTCAAAGCCCTTGTTAAAGATTGGGATGATGAAGAACCACCCGAAGGTGAACAGTTAAATCAAATAATAAAAGAGAATCAAAGTTTAGATGTGGAGCCCCAAGATATTGTAGTCATTGAGGAAGAGGAAACCAAACAAAACCAAACTGTGTTACGAACATCAGTTGATTCTGCTGAAGAGACTACAAATCTTAATCCCAGCAAGAGTGGTGATGAAAATTCTGCACAACCTCAACGTAGACTAAGCAGAATCATTAAGAAAAAAGTTATTTTTGATCCTGACAATCCCGACACATTTACAAAAGTTAAATCATTATCTAAAAACAAAGAATTGTCAGCTGATAAAGATCAAATTGTTGTTAAAAAACCGAAAATGGATATAGTATACTCTAGNACAAATCTTAATCCCAGCAAGAGTGGTGATGAAAATTCTGCACAACCTCAACGTAGACTAAGCAGAATCATTAAGAAAAAAGTTATTTTTGATCCTGACAATCCCGACACATTTACAAAAGTTAAATCATTATCTAAAAACAAAGAATTGTCAGCTGATAAAGATCAAATTGTTGTTAAAAAACCGAAAATGGATATAGTATACTCTAGACCAAAGTCTAAATCTCCAGTTTCTAAAATGCAATGGAAAAAGCCATCTTCTAAAAATAGCAAACAATGTAAGAGGCTGTCAGAAGTTGATAAATTATTAATGGATGAAGGTGCAGTTAACATGATTTATCAACTGACTCCTGAAGCACCTAAAGGCAAAAAAAACATGAAAACAAAAGCAGAATTCATTAAGAAAATACAGAGTACTACTCCTGACTCTAAGGAAATGAAGTTTAGAGAAAGAAAAAAAGAATTGAAAGGAGAAGTAGGTGAAGCCAAGAAGATATTAGGTGGCAAATATAGGAGTTCAATCGGCAGTTCAGTCAAATCTCCTTCAATGAATGAAGATTTTGAAGCACACAGTGCTGACGATTCCATTATTTATCGCCGACACTCATCTAGCTCTTACTCAAGTTCGTGTATGAGCCCTCGGAGACTTAGTGACGTTGAGGGAAGTGTTATACAAGTTACAACAAGCCATTCAATGCTGCAACACACTGAAACTGAGATGCAACCAAATAATGATGCAGAAAGCAAAAACTCTGTCTCTGAACCATTCTTAGAAGATCAAAATGTCATTCCAAAACAAATAAATAAAGATGATTGTTTGTCAATTAAAGAAAAACTAAATACCAAATTGTCCCTTGCTTTGAATAAGAGAAAAAGAGAAATTGTTAAAACGGAGAAACCGAGTAAACAAAGAAAAACTATAAAAAGTCAAGAGAAAGTCATAAACAGGGAAATAGTCCATAGCTTTAAGTATGTCTCTGTTCAAATTGATCAGAGATTTGGTGAAATATGTATCCTTGATTCCGGGACCAATTTTAATATAGAGGTAAACATTTATCATAGACTACTTTAGATATATATAAACCTTAATATGAAATTCGCTATATAATTTGCCCTTCCTTTCTAATAACAAAAATACATTAAAATCTAATATGTTTTATGAAAGTCCTTGAAAGGCTTGTAGAGAGTATTAAGCAGTAGGCAGCGGCTTGGCTTTGCCCCTGGCATTGCTGAAGTCCATGGGCGACGGTAACCACTCACCATTCGGTGGGCCGTATGCTCGTCTGCCCACAAAGGCAATAAAAAATATATATATTGTTGGCATCACATGCAATGTCACAAAAATAAATCAACCTTGGTGTTTTTAGCAGTCTTGTTTGACAATATAACTGACATTCATGGGTGATGTTAACCACTCACAATCAGATGGGCTCTGAACTTACAGGCTTTGAATATATGCAAATCTTCATTAAAATGTCAACAATAGCAGCAGACTACGGGAATTTGAAAAATAAAATTATTTACTGTTTATATAGTGAATATTGTTTTGCCTTATGTTTGGGTACTATGTTAGTGATGTTGTAACCTAACTTTCTCCATATTGTCGCTGTGAAACCAATATCTGCTCAAATCTCTATTTTGAATTAAGGAGTAAAAACATTTTCATATAAATTTTTATATGAAAGTGAATTTTTAAGAACTATATCAAATGAAAGCTATAGATAAATATGAATACAGTTTTTATATATGATAGAGGAACTATACGAAAAGGTCAAAAAGTAAAATCTCAAAAAGTACACAGCAGATTTTGGTTTGACAACGACGATATGTTGATTTAACAATAATTTCATTTTATAAAATAATTTCACATTGAACCTGGTATACATTTACTTTTTCAGGTAATAAAAGAAATAGAGAAAGCTTTATTGTTTTTAGATTCCAGAGAAGATATATCTGTAACATTGTTATTGTCCACTAGTGGACAGATGTGCCTAAATTTAGATTTAAACCTTCTATTAACTAAGAGTCTTGATGACAGAACTAATGATGCTCATGAAATTGCTGAAACTATCAGGTAAAATTTCATTTAATCAGTAACAAATTTTCAAAAACATTTACTTCAACGCAGATTGTTTTGAAATACCTACATAAAATTTTAAAATGTATTGGATCACTAGTGAGACTTTTGATTACCTTATAATCTTTCCTCAAGGAGAACCTATATCATAAATTTTAAATTCTAATTACTAGTGATCACTTGATAATACATATTTTTATAATTTCTTCCCCTATTGGCATATTTGTGTGCTTGCTATAAGAATATTAATGAGGATATATTTTACAGATAGATTATAGTTCATAAAAAAAAGTCTGACATTAATATATTACCTTTTATTTGCTACTAAGCTCCAACCCACCTAGTTGTATAAAGTTACCAAGAACATATATTTGTTAAGTCACCACATCAGAACCTCTAGATATGTAGAGACCAATTAAAATAATCAGAATACATAATTCCTCCTCCCTGAGTCACATTCCTCATGTCTGAGGATTGTGCCCACCTTCCATTATCCTTCTCTGGATGATGTTTCACCATGTTCCTCTGTTCTCAGTGGTGTTAATAATTACATGACTAAAAATGGACAAGACAATGATTAGGCTAATTAGGGTTCATGCTTAATATTAAATATCATACTTTGATATAAAATTATTATATTGTATTTGTTAATTACAGAAACAAATTAATAAAAGTATGGTACATTATAAAACAGGTGGAAACATTTTTTTCCTGCTTGGTAGGTTACCATTAATGGTTAGATGAACAATCAACCTTTAAAGTCTATATAATCTATAAAATATAACTCGCATATTCATATCCATAATCCTAATTACTTCTATGTCTTTAGTAAATATTTTTTTTCAGATCCTTACTGTGTACAATTCTGAACCACACAAAATTGTTGTGCACAGCTGTAGAGAGGGGATGCACTGGCCTTGGATTCACATTAGTGGCGTTAAGTGACATCACTTTTGCCTCTGAATTTGCTACTTTTGCACTAAGTACTCTGACTTCTGAGAAAAATGCAGAATATAGTTTGACACCTGGTATCGCTATACTTAGTTATTTATTACCACAACCATTGGTAAGTTTTTAATAATATTGAATATAATCAAAATACAAACTATAAAATTAAAAGGAATCATTATAAATTATTAATTTAAATTTGACGTAAATTGGTGTACCATACAATAATAATACATTATATATGTTAATGAATTTTTTAATATTATTACAGCTCAACAATATTGTACTATTTGGGAGACAACTGTCTGCAACAGCAGCTGTGCAGAGTGGTCTTATTAGTCATTGCCTCTGGCCTGCAAGCTTTATAGAACAGCTACGAGTTGTCATAAAAGATATAGCTGCTCAACCTGCCCAAGTGAGTATTTAATAGTCTTCATAACTAGAATCATTTGCTATTTGTGTACAGTGAGCCTTCCATCCCTTTCCTATGTATAATAATTCTGTTATCTGTGTGTAAGCTATTCCGCCTTCATGAATGCAAATGTGTCCTTTAGGACATAGACATGACTGATATAATGTATAAAGATTGAGATTTACATGTCCGCATTGTTCATCGGTCATGCATAATGGTAAAGAAGAACACTGAAAAATGTATTCATTATCATAGTTAGAATGCAGTTTCCAATAGTTTGGTTCAGGACAGCGACAAGAAAATATGATTTTCGGTGGTTCTAGGTGTATATTCCTGTGATGTAATTCTTCTAATTCGTCAGGGTTCATACGTTCGTGTGTTGTCATCACAGTAAGGGCTTTTGCGTTGTTGGAGCACTGTGGCCAGCTTGTTACCGGTTGGCAAAACTGAAAGCAATTCATAATAATTGTTAGACATGTTAATCTAACACAATAAATATTTGTTTGTGCTGCTCTTAAAATCACAGATTCGCGTATGGAAAAACTGACCGAATTTATTTGTATTTAGATTTAGTAATTCTTTTTCCTCTCTAAGCACCTGTCATTTTTGGAAATACTTTGACATTGGCAAGGGGTTGGAGCAAAATTACTTAAAAAAAAATTTTTTTTATTCAAGAATTTTATATAGATTAGTTTAAGAGAATAAAATGTTTTTTTTATTGTATGTGATGAGTAGACCTGTAGATAAGCTCGGTTGTTGATTGCAATCCGTCTGTTATGTTTTGCGGGAGAGTCGCACCGCAGGCGGCGTGCGCAGCGACAAAGCCTCACGAGCGCGCTCGCACGCCAGTAGCGCGGGATCAAAGCCGAGCACGCCTGTCGAGGCTCGCAAAACGGGAGACTCCTCTCGCTCTCTTCCTGTTACAATTGCTGTTTATTGTTGCCAGCTTCGACAAAATTACACAATTTGATTGGAATGACTATTAAATTCTATTCTATATCGTTAATTTTAAATACTTTGAAATTAATTTGGTCAGACATGTGCGAATCTATCTATCTAAGCATATGATTGTTCACCGTATTCAGCATAGAAATTTTGTAACTTCAAGAAAGAATGATTGATCAGATTCTCTTAGAAAAGCAGATTCAAATTCTTAATTAAATTATTGTCAATATTTTTGGAAAAGTTGCAAAGAAACAGATACCGTTAGATAAGTTGATCAACTTTCAGACCTAACAATAAGTACTTACCAAGCCATAATAATATAAAATAACCTCGTCGGTTTCATTCTCAATGCAAATATATGAATTTAATAAAGTTAACAAAATAACATAGAACCACATGACGTTCCTATAACTTATTTATTATTGTAGTGTCTGTCAGTTCTCTCGGATGTTTATAATAAGGTCATAACCTATGCTGATAAGATACGCTATAAGTATTCTAGAAATGACAAAATCAAGTTAAACTGATTCAAATGTTAATGTTCATTTTGTTAAAGTGTCGCCTGGTATGAGTAAAGAATGACCTTAAATATTTGAATTTTAATAGCATTGATAGACGACGCACTTGGTGTTAAATGGTTATGACAGACAATTCTAACCAGCGATGTGGTCCGCATTCCCGTCGTCGCTGTTGTCGCCGAACATACTGTGGAAGAGCAACCCGGTCGGCGGTGTATCGCGTTCCGACCCGGCAGGCTGGTTCTGGCCCAGCGGGGTATCCCGGAACACCGTACCGCGGAGATCGACGTCGTTAGCCGTCGACTATCGCCTCGACACCCGTCGGTTGGGCATCCTAGGGGTAGCGCCGCGAGTCTGTTTGTAGTGTTGCCCGCGGGAACTCCCTTACTCTGACCGGGTTCTGACCCCGGGCCGAGATCGGACATTAGGTGTAAGAGTGCAGGGGAGTCGTTTAGTGTAGTAGGGCCCTAAAAATATCCTTGGTCCCGCGGTCTGCTTCCAACATCTGCAGATCGTCAAGTCCCACATACCCCGCGCACCCCCTAGGTGCGGGGACTACGTAGGAGGTCCGGTCCCGACTCGAAAAAAAAAGACAATTTTAACCACCGTTATCCACTAAGAGCCTCTATTGCAGTGATTTAAAATTACAAAATACAAGAATATTTAGAGAAACTATTATAATTTTTTTTCTTTCTATTACAGGACGTTTTACTAAAAAAGCAACTTTTAACCCTGAAGAAGACCGAATCAATGGATTCAATTAAGTCCAGCCTTGAAAAAGAAAAAGATATGTTTGTTAAATACTGGACCACCGTTGAGAGAAATGACGAATCCCATTAAATCCACATTGTATTTGAATCATAACAGTTACATTTTTTTAAATTATTATCATATCATAAAATCTGGTAACAAAAAAAAACGACAATAAATTAGAAATCATATAATGACAACACATACACAATAGATTACGTAGATCTTGATCTCGTATTTCATTTATTTTTGCAAATTATGTGTTTTATTCTATGAAGAACAGAACTTTTTTTCGTAATACGTTTGATGAAATGTTCATGTCATTAAATTAAATCTAAGTCTTTGAAGTTTGCATAATGCACGTACATATATGGTCACTATTGTGAAGTGTTCCTGGTGTGAGTAACTGCGTCGTTATAATCGAATTTCATATAGAACGCTATCGACTAGTGTTTATTAAAATTAATTTTGTGGTTTACATACGGATAAAATAAAATAAAATAAAATGTTAACTAATTTGACTGACTGACTTCAAAATTACAGGCGAACATTGTGTTGCCTTTTGTTATACTATTTTTATTGCGTAGATATTACTTAAATGTCTTTAATAATAACTATAATATCGATGTGTTTTCATATTGTGAAACTGGTTTCGATTGATGTTAGGCGTAGTTAGTTCTCGACTATGTAATGTTATAGATGAAATTGTTTATGTATTTGTTTTATATTAAATGAGTTTATGTTTAGTTGTAATTCTAATTCTGTACTCATAGCCAAAGTATTGGGGTAATGGCCACATGTTAAAAGTATGATAAAAATGACAAGGTCGCAGGTTTCTGAAAGAATATTAAATGGTGGTTTATTAGCAATTAAAATCAATTACGAAACACGTTCATTCCCATTGTGTTAACTTTTATCTCTTTCAAAGAACCTTATTAATAATTACGCTAAGAAAATAGATTTATTTAGCCCTAAAAACATTAATGTTTTAAGTTAACTGTAAGTCGAGGAATAAACAATTCCCATTCTGTTTGAAATAAAGTGCCTTTGAGAATAAACTCCTCACTCTGGTTTTAGTGTATAAGACCCATATTATTTAAAAGTAGGAATACGTTTCTTTAATACATTCGACTCTAACAAGTGTAATAAAGTTTCAGGAAAACCAAAGTAGAGCATATTTATATATTTTTGTTGTAAACGTTCTGTACTCTCTTCTCATCTACTCTCTTATACTTTTCTGATATTGGAAAAAATGTATTGGGATTAAATAAACGTTCTCCAATGTATTTCCCTTTGTGATATATTTTCATTGGTATTTGGTATGCAAAATGGCCTAATCTACGTTGGATAATTATCGTTAACGTCAGCCGTTATTATATGACAGTAAATAGACGAATAAAAATAGATCCATTTAATGATTACGATGCGATTTTGCGCATAGCGCACTCAATATATTTTCGTTTATGGTCTTAGATTATTAGTTATTTTCTGTGACATTGGAGAGAGTAGGGTCACAATTCACCCTTGATGCGGTACAAAATCATTGCCTTAAACGAGAATACATAGATGGAAGAAATAATTATATTGGAAACTGAGTAACATTTTGTCAACTCTGCTAACACAAGTACACTGTATTACTACTATTATTATTACACATTATTACTATACACTATTTTTATCTCGACGAAAATATATCTCTGTTTAGCCATAAATCAAAGATGAATATATTGTTAGTATATGTATACAAAACTTAAATTTTAATGGATACGAAAATAATTCATCATATCTCACAATGTGAATATGTAGGTATATAATAAAGAATATATTGTACACAACTTTCCAAATGTTTTGCTGTTCATCCTTTCAATTTCGATTTTACTTTATGAAAAAAAAACTTGACGTTACTTTTTTATTTTAGAACTCCACGGTATGAATACTTGTTACACCAATGGCCGTTTTGGGGTTAAGCCGTTACCGGAACTCATAAATTCAATGTGAATGTCGCTATCCACTTTGAGAAATGAGGTCTAAGTTTGAAGTTTGATTGTATATTATAAATATACACATTTACGTTTCCTGCATTACTTGTTAAATTTATTTTCGGTGTATGATGTATCTGATGTATCGTTAATATCGAAGTTTGAAGTTTGCCACTGTAAGCGGACGAGCAAGCGGCCCTCGGGGCTATTTGACACCGTAATTCCCGAATTACAGGTGAAGAAGTAACGGCAGTGACACGGACACGTCGCTGTAATTATTTGTATCGTACCGTGGTACAAATTACCGGGAATCGAACCAGGACTTTTGGTACAGTAGCTAGTCACTAACCAATAGACTAGCTTCGCGATTGATCGTGTACTGTGTGGTCACTATACTCCAATAAGTCGATGGTTAAGATAATTAAAAAAAATATATATTATATACAAATTTTTATTCAAACATTTTCAGATACATTACAAATAATAGGTTTAGGTCTAGATTTGAACAATAACTTCTTCTTAACAACAGCCTTCACTTCATACTTAATTTCATCTCCCAAGTTCGTTTTTTGTATGACGGCCATGGGTTGCTCGAGCTTTACTTCCTTGCCGTTCAGGACGTGATGACCGAGCACTAACACGGGATGTCGGTTTCTGTTATAGTAATGGAGGTCGCCCACGACGGTGGCGCACGTTGGATTCTCGTTTTTCATCTGCACGAGTCCCTGCAGTTCTATTATAGCCCACTCCGGAACGCCGCCTTCCACATTTTTACTGAAAAACGAGAATTTACTTGTGAAATCGTGAACTGTTTAATGATAAAGGTAATGGAGCGACGAGGTGAAAATAAAACAGATAAGACATTTGCAGCATTTTAATTTTTAAGTTCGACTGATTTTAACAAAAAAACCTGTAAAGAAAGAGGAAAGTTCTGATAAGTAACGTAGCATACAATTGGGAAACAAACATGGCGGTGATCATCATTTCGGATACCTTTAAAGAAGGCGAGAGGTGAGGGCACAGATAAAGTACCGAGAGGGTCTAATATCGGAACTTCTTGAAGAGAGGATGTTTGTTGTGTTGGTTGCCGCGGCGCTCCACGTAGAGCGCGTCGTCCGCGCCCGCCAGCGACGACAGCGCGCCCCCCCGCCGCGACACGCCCCCCACCGCGCCCTCCCGCTCCTCCTCGCACTCCGTCTCCGAGGCCGCTAGCACCTGCACAAGGGTCAATGGTAAACTATCGAATACCTTAAGCACCGGTCGTTGTTCTCGTCGAACCCGTCGCTACGAGTAAATTAACCCACAGACACAGCCCACTGAGTTTCTCGCCGGAACTTCTCAGTGGGTAGCGATTTCGATCCAGTGATAGATTCTGCGAAGCACGGCTCTTGCTAGGGTTCGTGTTAGCAACGTCGTCAGGTTTGAGCCCGTGAGCTCACCTACTAGTTAAGGTTACGCTGAAATAGCCTCTCAAGGCTATCAGCTTAGGTATGAAAAAAAAAACTATCGATTAGGTCTGGAAATAATTCTTGTCATCATATCGAGGGGTGAAGAAAGGCTATTTGGTTTAAACGAATTTTTGCAACTTAGTTAGAGCCATTTAAAATTTGGAAAAAATATCATGACAATAAAACTTCTTCGGCTATTTAAATTAAGAAAACTTAGTTAAAGTTCAATTAAAAACATCGAACTGTTAATACTATACCAAATAAAACAAACCTTGAATTGCAAAGATAATGTCGCGTATTAACAACTTTTCTCCCAATTTTTCTGTCCAATTTTTCTCCCTTGGTGCACAATATACTATTACGAATAAGAATGTACGAATTAAAGTCATATAATAATCAAACCTGTGAAAGTAAAGTGCCTTGTTCCTCGCGAGTGCCATAGAGCATATCAGGCTCTTGATCCATACCTTTTAGTTCTGTTATAACCTAATAAATAAATGAAATACATTTGTATTAGTTCAAATATAAATAGAATACGTCTTCGAAGTGGGAATAGCGAAATTTCCAAAAAAAAGAAGATTATAGAAGATAGGGAAGTAACACAGTAATAATATACCGAATTATACTTCAACTTGGTAATGTACTGAATAATTATTATAGTTATTATATCATATTTACCTTATAACTATAACCCTGATTAACAAGAAATCTTTGTCTTTTTCTACTGTACGCCATCTCTAAGGTGTCTTGTGATACTAGAGTATAGAAAAAGGCATTATATTCTTCGGCCAAAGCGCCTTTCTTTGCTCTTAAAATACGACCTGGAAATTACAAAGAGGACTAGATAAATGAGTGAATACTCTCGACTGCAAAGATGTTGACGCGTCAAACCTAAACTTTGTTTAGTACCAAAGTGAGCGAGACAGATATATTTCTATTATTTTGGCCACATTTGACCACATTCCATTCAAGATCTATTTCTTTCGTCGCGCACAAAGCGATTTTACATTAATTATTTAATACTAGCGACCCCGTCCTCGCTTCGCTTCGGAAACTGTAATTTATTATTGATTTCTCCACTATTTAATGGATGTTATTATACATATTATTATAAACCTTTCTCTTCAAATCACTCTATCTATTAAAAAAAACCGCATCAAAATCCGTTGCGTAGTTTTAAAGATTTAAGCATACTAGGGATATAGGGACAGAGAAAACTACTTTGTTTTATACTATGTAGTGATGATGAAGTAAATATTAATTTTATTTTTTATTTTTTTATTGCTTAGATGGGTGGACGAGCTCACAGCCCACCTGGTCTCAAGTGGTTACTGGAGCCCATAGACATTCACAACGTAAATGCGCCACCCACCTTGAGATATAAGTTTTAAGATCTCAAATATAGTTACTACAAATATATTTAATTTAGATACATGTTAACTTTACCCAATCTCTGTGCCTCTTGTCGCCTGGAGCCACCGTGCGAGGAGATCTGTATAAGCACGTTCGCTTCGGGCAGATCGAAGCTGGTGTCAGCGACTTTACTCACGAATATCGTATTCACTTTCGGGTTGAACTTGAAATTCTGGAGGATCTGTATTCGCTCGCTCTGGGACGTCGGCCCGTAGATGTATGGCTGCAAAGCGGATAGATTGTTTCATTACAAATTACACTCTACGTAATATTGCAAAGCAAAAGCGTCATTCCAATTGTATATTTCATTTATTAGTATTGAACGATTTTTTTAAAATATGATTGGCGATTCCAGACATGACAACTTTTGTTTTTAAGAAAACTATAGTTTTTATTTTATTGCGATTACAAAACTAGCTGACGCATGGGTCAATGACATTTTAGATATGTTCGTGTTACATTGCATGTTCGTGTTGTTACAAACGCGACAACGAAAGCCATTTCGTGACAAATATTGCTACATTACGTGACGTATAATAATAATATGTACTTTGATATGCATGAGCGATCGCAGCAAGGCTGTAGAATTAAACGTCTGAAGTCTTGAATTCTCAAAATCATGAGATATGATGTGAAGAGACAAGCGATTCAAAGTGAGCGCTCGGGAAACACCGTGGAGGGAGCTCATTCCATAGCCGGATGGTACGTGGCAAAAAAGATCTCTGGAAACGCACTGTGGATGACCGCAGTGGCTCCAGGTAGTATGGATGAACTCTACTCCACTACTACTACTACCACCGGATCGGAAACGCGAGTCACTGAGAAGTTCCGACGAGAAACTCAGTGGGCTGTTTTTGTGGGTTAAGATAGTCAACTCCGGAGCTAGTATGGTTCCTTGTAGAGTTGCCGCTACATAAACATATACAAACATATANGAAACGCACTGTGGATGACCGCAGTGGCTCCAGGTAGTATGGATGAACTCTACTCCACTACTACTACTACCACCGGATCGGAAACGCGAGTCACTGAGAAGTTCCGACGAGAAACTCAGTGGGCTGTTTTTGTGGGTTAAGATAGTCAACTCCGGAGCTAGTATGGTTCCTTGTAGAGTTGCCGCTACATAAACATATAAAAACATATAACCACCTTGTTCATCTTGACAGCGTAGTGCCTGAGCGCGAACACGTTGTCGGAGAACACGATGGTCTTGTCGCCGCGCCGCTCGTGGTAGCGCACCAGGTACTGGCACGCGCGGAACTTCGACGGGTTCATTACGTACAACAACATTTTCTTGTTTATCCTGAAAGCCTCCACTCACTTAAGTGTGCTTAGTGCGAGTTCTTTAACGTTCTCGATAGCGTAAAAGTTAGCTCATATTTGTATCGAATGGGATCGTTTGCCTACGTTTGCCGCTAGGGGCGCTGTTCCAACTGCATACAAAATTGGGTTAACTTTTACGCTATCGAGAACGTTAAAGAACTCGCACTAAGCACACTGATCAATTGATTCATTGACAATGACAATATGATGCTTGTCTGGAAGAGATGGCTCTTAGTGATAACACCGCAAACTAAACTTTTTTGTATTTAATGTTTCGCATTGTTTATTTATTTTGTATACAATAAAGAGTACTTTCTCTCTCTCTTTCTCTCTTTCAGTGTCACATAGTTTATAGCTTCACTAACAATTAATTTATTAGTTATACCAAGATTTGTCATAATAGTCACCTCGATTACAAGTGCAAAGGACAAGGTAACAGTCGACAATATTTAGAAAAAATACCCTGAAAAAGGGACTACTAGAAACTCTAGAAACTCTCTCTACTCTAGAAACTAGAGGAAATTGAAGAAAAAATGTTAGATATAATTTGTAAATAATAAATTAATATGTACTTGAATTAATAATAGGCACCAACATATTTTGACTTCAACTAGTAAAATTAATAGAGTGTGGGCCAATCTGATAGACTGCTTTAAGTTCTCTGTTACATTCAACCTGGTATTTGAATAACCCCGTCACGGCACTAGACCATGCAATAGTAGTATTTTTTTTAGTGTAAAATACTACAAAAAACGAAAACAAATATTACTATAGGTAGGACCTCTTGTGAGTCCGCGCGAGTAGGTACCACCGCCCTGCCTATTTCTGCCGTTATACAGTAATGTGTTTCGGTTTGAAGGGTGGGGCAGCCGTTGTAACTATACCTGAGACCTTAAAACTTATATCTCAAGGTAGGTGGCGCATTTACGTTGTAGATGTCTATGGGCTCTAGTAACCACTTAACACCAGGTGGGCTGTGAGTTCGTCCACCCTTTAAGCAATAAAAAAAAAATTGTAGTCCCAGATATGATGAAGGTATATGAAGAAATGTTTTACTTCTGCACTAGGTATTCCCTGTAGAACTCTGGCGTCATGGGGCACCACACCTCGGCGCACTGCACGCGCGCGATGTAGCCGGCCGCCTGCAGCTCGAGCCAGTTCGCCTCGTACAGCTTCGGGCCTATCAGGAAGTTCAGGTCCGCGATCTTGTCGTCCTCTCGCAGCAGGGTCGCCGTCAAACCTGTCCCGATACGACCTGTTTAGAGCCGTGGGCAGGCAGGCCAGCGCACCGCACAAACGGAGGGGCGGCAATTTTTTTGAAATGCCAAAATTTCATAGACGTAGAGAAGTAAAGATACCCTCATTTGAAAATAAATACAGATTAGTTTATATATATTCTTAGGATATTTAAATTTATGTTAGTTAAGAAAGTCATTGTAAATTTAAAATAAAAATATTGGATCAAAATTAATAAAAGGGCGGCGTGATAAATAGGCCCTCGAGCGGCATCAAGCCCAAATCCGCCACTGCAGACAAGCGGTTAGTGCCGTCGCCCATCTTGGGACGTGAGGTTAAAGTCTAAGCTACAAAAACGCGTGACTTTCGCGGCAGAAATAGTGCCAGAGTATGTAACTATAAAAATAGAAGTTACCTATGAGTTTCTTCTAGAGAGCGTAGAGAAGCTACAAAACCCAGGAGACTGCGTTTGTGGCGTTGGGAGACGAGAGTGGTACTGACCCAGTTTGGCGTGCGAGTGCACGATGGTGAGCACCCTGCGGAACATTTTGGCAGGTATCGTGTGTACTTCATCGAGCACGACCAGGCCCCACTCCTGGGCCTGGAGCCACTTCATCGTCTGTTCGGCCTCCCACGAGCGTCTCTGTCCGTGAGTTATCATTGAATACGTCGTTACGAGGATACCCGCTCCCATCGGCTTGTCCTTGGCTTCTGATGTGAACCTGTGAAATATAGGAGTTGTTTTTATCTTTGAATTCATTGAGCAGTTACTTATATAATTAAGCTAAAATTCATACTGATTTTTTCTATGCGTTATTTTTCGTCTACCGTTTATTCTCTAATAAGATAGGGCATGTTAAGACCATATGGATTAGTGTCACCGTTCTGCCTCTTTCTCCAAGTTCCAATCATCTATTATTCCAATTCATTCAATCTACTGTCTCAAAGTGGCTACATATAATTGTAATTGTACAATAATACAAATTTCACCGCTGTACCATTAAAAATTTCGACTACTAAGAAGTTGTAATAATCACACAAAATAAAATCCTATTTAGACAAAGAGAGTTTGCGATTCTAATGCTAGCAAGTAGACTATCAAGATATAATACTCTTCCCTATTTTACCACAAGATCAATTTTTTTTAAGAGTTTTTATGACTTGGTAACTAAGACCTTTAGGTCATTTATTATTTTAATTTATAAATATTCTTATTTTTATGAAAAATATGGAGTGAAATGAAATGAAATAAAGATGATTAATTTGAGAATTTATCAACTGAGCTGAAATTAAATGAAATGAGATGAGATGATATGGGATGAAATACAATCTCAATAAAATGGTGGTCATTTACTGAGGTTTTTTCAGTGTACTTTTTGGAGGATCTCGAGAAGTTACGTCCAACGGCTTTATTTCATTTGTGCACTTTCACAGATATTAAACAGTTAATAAACCACCGTTATTACACATTTAAACCTACAGAAACACTAAAAAGGCAAAATAAAACTAATCACACAACTTCACGTTCCCGCCAAAAAGTCTCCACAAGATCAATTCGTTCTTAATGTTGGCAGATTGAAGAATGTGTATAACGTGCCTTAAGTCGGTTAAAATAATGGGGTCAGTGACCTGCAGATCATACTGTCGTCTGCGGTGGACCAGCACTTGAACTGTTGCTTCCACTGTTCCACGGAGACGCCGGAGTTGCACAGCACGAGGGCGCGCTTGCGCACCGTGCACACCGCCGTCACGCCCACCAGCGACTTGCCGGCGCCGCACGGCAACACTATCACGCCTGACCTGGTACATACAGGAAGTGCCGTGCATTACTGAGTCGTCGTGGCCTAAAGGATAAGACGTCCGGTGCATTCGTTGTCGAGCGATGCAACGGTGTTCGAATCCAGCAGGAGGGTACCAATTTTTCTAATGAAATACGTACTTAACAAACGTTCACAATTGACTTCCACGGTGAAGGAATAACATAGTGTTATAAAAATGAAACCCGCAAAATTATAATTTGCGTAATTACTGGTGGTAGGACCTCTTGAGTCCGCGCGGGTGGGTACCACCACCCGCCTATTTCAGCCGTGAAGCAGTAATGCGTTTCTCACCCGACCCCGAGCTTCGATTCCATTAATTGCCTATGTTAGTCAGCGTGCATGCAATGCATGATGTCATCGTGTCAAAAATCCCTGCCTTGTTGTATTCCTGTGACTGAATAGACTAATTTTGTAAGAACCAAACAAAGCAATGGCTATTCACCTCGCCCTGCCATTGCCGAACATTTTCCTCAAGCTTTTCTCTTGATAAGGTCGCAAAACGGCAGTTGGTTTAAGATCAATGTTGATGTCCGGATTGATGGAGTCGTTCCGGAAGTCGTACTCAGCCAGCAATGGATGCTCCAACTCGATACAACGTTTTTGTATTACCTTAAAACAAAATGGTTTATAAAACAATTTTTTATAATTATTTTTTTTAACACACATTATGTTTTAAATAGCTTTTTTTATTATTTTTTCCCTATCTAAGCTTGATGGTCTTGAGAGACCATTTCAGCGTAGCCTTAACAAGTAGGTGAGCTCACGGGGCTCAAACCTGACGACGTTGCTAACATTAGCCCTAGCAAGAGCAGTGCTTCGCAGAATCTACCACCGGATCGGAAACGCGACCCACTGAGAAACTCAGTGGGCTGGGTCGGTGGGTAAGTTTACTCGCCGAGTCCTTCGTCGCAAGCGACGGGTTCGACGAAAGTGGTGACCGATGCTACGGTAGGACCTCTTGTGAGTCCGCGCGGGTAGGTACCACCACCCTGCCTATTTCTGCCGTGAAGCAGTAATGCGTTTCGGTTTGAAGGGTGGGGCAGCTGTTGTAACTATACTTGAGACCTTAGAACTTATATCTCAAGATGGGTGGCGCATTAACGTTGTAGATGTCTATGGGCTCCAGTAACCACTTAACACCAGGTGGGCTGTGAGCCCGTCCACCCATATAAGCAATAAAAAAAAATGTATGGGTTGCTAAAATTTTCAATAGGATTAATATTAATTGGCACACTCACTTCGATTTTGTCAGGATCCACTTCAAAGGCAACAGCTGCGTTGGCAGTAACACCAGAGGTCTCCTCCTCGTCGTCATCCTTATCTAGTTGCTGATAGAACTGACTGATGTCGTCGGGCACAGCGCCGTTCGCCGCCGGTGGTTTTTCTTCACCTGATCGTTTGAGAAGCAGTCAAGTAAACTTAAGACGCAGGTGGACAGACAGTTACGAGATTATGTTAAGGATAAGTTTTATAAGTCACTACAGAAACATACACAAATTGCTTCTTACATATGGTACGTCATCGTTTTAAATTTCTGCAACACAATCAGTAATATTAAAATAGACAAATAAGTAATTGGTGGTAGGACGTATTGTGAGTCCGCACGGGTAGGTACCACCACCCCGCCTATTTCTGTCGTGAAGCAGTAATGCGTTTCGGTTTGAAGAGTGGGGCGGCTGTAACTATACTGAGACCTTACTCATATCTCAAGGTGGGTGACGGAATTTATATTGTAGATGTCTATGAGCTCTGAGCTCGTCCACCCACCTAAGCAATAAAAAAAGCAAATATTTGTAACGAAACAATTTTTTATTTACTTTACGACCATTAATTACGAAAATTATAATTTTGCAGGTTTAATTTTTACTACAAGATGTTATTCCTTCAGCGTGGAAGTCAATCGTGAACATTTGTTAAGTACGTATTTCATTAGAAAAATTGGAACCCACCTGCGGGATTCGAACACCGTTGCATCGCTAGGTACGAATGCACTGGACGTCTTATCCTTTAGGCCACGACGACTTTCCACTGTAATGTACACTATGTTATTTTTCCACTATATGACTAGTCCTGTTTATTCAAATCACACATAAAATTTTAGTTACCATGACTTGAAAACAACGTCCGGCATCACTCTCTAAGTTAAGAGAGTATCTAAATTGTTATTTTTTTTTTAAATCTAACAAAAACTAAAGAATGTTTTATAAGCATTTCGTGTTTATGTATATCTATACTAATCAAAAATATTGGGACATATCACTTGATGGAGGTTCTGTTGCTCTATGTAATTGTTTCCAATTTAGATAAGCCCTTTGTTTGCAAAATAGTCAAAGGCGATCACTAGGTGCCATTCGTTCGATGTTAAAGCCGCGATCGCTTACAGGAAACCAACTCTAAGTATTACGCTTCGACGCCGCGTCTTGCTGAGGCATACGTCACCTGGTTTGGCGAGGGACGTGGCCGGCTTGGCGGGCAGGTCGTTGGACAGCAGATCCTCGTCGCCGTCGCGTCGCAGCCTGCACTGTTGAATCACTGGATCTTTCAATAGCTTCTGCAGTACCTCCACGTGCTTACTCTCGACTAGATACCTGCAAACTTTATATTATTACAAACAGTATTCTTGCACTACGTTTTTATATACGGTAGGCAGAGGCTTGGCTCTGCCCCTGGCATTGCTGAAGTCCATGGGCGACAGTAACCACTCACCATCAGGTGGCCCGTATGCTCGTCTGCCTACAAGGGCAATAAAAAAAATACTCGAACTGTTTAAATACTCTTCTTTCTGGTTCTAAATAACCAGCTTTTGATGAACTTTGTGAAGGCATATTTTGCTATTACCATCAAGAGGGTGGTCGCTATTTATGCAATGAATATTAGTAAATTCGGTGGCACACTCCTAGGCAAAAAATTCCTCAGAGTCGTCCCCATAATACATATGCTACACAGCACAGAGAGCATTGAAGTCCTTATACCGGTACGAACATGTTTTTCACCAGCTCATCTGAGAAGCTACTAAAAATCGTGATCGAAAAATAAAATGATTAGCCTTACCTAGCTTAATTTTATTTTAGATGGATGACAAGCAATGAAGCAGAACTGACCTGTTATGTTTTAACACCAACTTCACTTTACCATAAGAGAGGGTACATAGTTTAATGAACTCTACGATGCCGGCTGGCACAGCACACTTGCTCAGTCTCTGCAGGTACTCAATAATGTCATTGGTCTGTAGGCCTACCGAAACTGCCGCATACAAACTGTAGGCTGTCAATTTGTATTCATGTATGTGTTGGGGTCTGAAATCAGAAAAATAGATTTTATTTTTGATCAACAATAATCTATTAACTAAACGGTAATTTTTATTAATAAGTTATAAAATTCAAAATATTATAAAATAAGTCATAAAAATTTAATATCAGTAATTTAACTTAGTTTTCTTTTAATTTAATTTACTTTAGAATAATTTGTTTGGAACAATTTAATTTTTTTAGCTTGTTTATTATTTGTTGTTTACTTACTGTTTTGTATTAATACTGAAAAAAAATACAATTATGTTCACTTTACCTGCATACTGGTTCAGCTATAGCAATCAAAAAATCATGAGCATGTTTGTAAACTGGAGAAAATGCTTCCAAGAAAATATGCCCATTGGGTGCCACCCATAAAGGACGACTGGCGTTGTCTGGTTTAAGCGGCATTTGACTTCTGAAATGTTGTTAATAAAATTCAATTTAGGAAAAGACTTGGCAGGAAAGTTTTAGATCATTAAAAACTATCTAAAACAGCTCTTCTGCAAGATGTGTTATTCATTTGTGGATGTATATAGAAATAGTCCAAACATTTAAATTTTTATTCATATATAACATTATCATTTCATAATAGTTTATTATAATAATAATAATAAAAATCTTCATTGTGTTATATTAAGTAACAGTTTGTCCAGGTTTGTATTATGCAATCTCATTATTATAATTAATTTTAAATTGGCACACTTTTCTGTGTACAATAATGAAGTTCATAATCAAGGAGCCCTCTGAATTTCTTGCTGGATCTTCTCAGTGTGATGTGTTCCTGATCCGGAGAGAGATTATGTGTTAGTAAACTCGTCAGGTTAGAGCCCCGTGAGCACACTTCCTCGCTTGGCGAAGCTGGCATAACCTCTCTAGGTTACTAGCACTAGCAGAAAAAAAAAGAATTAAGATGTATGTTATACCTATAATCTTTAGCACCAAATTCGTCTTCAGGTACTTGATCATTCTTCTCAGCATCTTGCATGGCAGCAACAGGGACCCCATCGTTTTCTGCATTATCATCATCTACAAGATCTATTGTTATATCCTCATCTACTTTTTTCTTTTTACCTATTAACAAAATAGAAACAAAAATGTAAATATAAATATATGATGTAATAAGTATGCAGCTGCAGAATGTTTCTTCCAGATATGAAGAGTGAGTTACTAATTTGGAAATATTTTTATTTTCTTAAATTACTTAAGCACTATTCTTGATCAATCTCATATTTATTTTTCATTGGTACTGTTAATTAACTAAAAACAACTCTTTGTATTGAAAACAATAGGTTAATGTCTATTTCAGATCTCATTCAAGTGTTGGGTCAGCTTATACATATTATGTCAATTTGGCTTCTAGTTTTAGTCCTAGCTACTTGTCCCAAAATGAGTTAGTGGTAATTTTTTTTAACTTAGATCAGTGCACAAGCTCATGGGCCACTTGGTGTTAAGCAAATACTGGAGCCCAGAGACATCAACAAGGTAAATGCTGCAAACCTTGAAACAAGAGTTCTAAGTCTCAGTTTTATAGTACAACAGCAGCGCTAGCCCTCAAACCTAAGTGTGTTATTGCTTCATGGCAGAAATAGGCAGGATGGTGGTAACTACCTGTGGGGGCTCACAACCCAACTTACCACTAGTAAATTTCTCAGGAATGTTTGTCATTATAATAGCCTTTACTTAAAGAAGTACTGCGAATGACAAATTTTGAGAATCGTTAGTATTATATGATCACATGCAGCATGTCTAGGTTTGCCACTCAATGGTATTTTATAGGTACTTTGCTTAGTTAAAAAAATATGTTTATGATTACATGTCGACACTTGAAAGGTAAACATGACTAAGCGACAATAACTGCTTTGTACATAAATGATAGGCAATAACCATATTCAATGCGCAAAAAATATATATTTCTAGGTCTATTAAAATCATTTCAATCCTACAGCTACTAGCTAGATTAAACTACAGCTAGATTCGTTAAAATAAATTTTGTTTTCAGGTATTTCAACTTTAAATTAGTCTACTGTAAAGTTCACGCATTGTCGCTTAGTCACGTTTGCCTTTCAAGCGTCTATGTGATTCTTTGGCCTTGAAAATTTTCTACAGGTCGTAGATTAAATTAAGTGTAAATGGAAGGATTGTATTCGAGCCCTACACCCCAGCAGAGGGTATTAGGAAAGAAAGAAAGAAGTGGACAAAATTAGGTTAAAATAGCCCAATGAAGTATGATCTCATTCTAGTTTGTTCATAAAAAATAATATTACCATTAAACTTTGTTTTTTGCAAATGCTAATTTGAAAACAATTTTGATATGCAGCACGACCAAGATATTTTGTCGTATGTGATTGATTCCCTATCTCTACTTTAACTTTTAATTTATTATAAATTATGAATGTATTAGTTATATAATCATTTTACAGAATTAAATAGGTACTTTCCAAAATTTTATTATTAACTTACTTGATCTATCACTTCCTCCTTTTGAGTCATATTTCTTGAATTTCTTCGGGGGCCCCATTTTGGTAGAATAAGATTTATTTTTCTCGCCAATCACAATTAACTGTATTAGTATGTACTATTATTCTGTTTTATAATCAACTATATGTCTGCAAAAAATTGTTATTGTAACATTATCTCACTCGTGTTTACTTAAGAATTTTACTTTTAGATGAGAATGTATCTTTTTTTATCAGAAATACTTACTCAATTTTTCTGTGAATGTTTGACGCACTATGTATTTGTTGTTAAAGTTCCTTAGCTTATGCAAGGTTATTAAGGTTACCCATCCAAACATTTCAATTAATTAAATACCTATCTTTGAAAGTACCCTATTAAAAATTTACTTTGAAAACATCAGATTATATTTTAAAAAATCCTAAGTGTTTAATCTATGTTAAAAATCCAAAACATGATTTTTTTAAGGGATTTTATGACCTGGTAACGAAGACCTTTAGGTCAAGTCTTATTTTAATTTTAATGAAAACTTGTTTTATATGAAAATTGATATTATAAAATGAAATGAAGTTCATTAATATGAAACATGGCATAAATAAAAACGAAATGAAATGAGATGAGATGGGATGAAATACAATCTGAGTAAAATGGTGGTCATTTACGGAGACTTTCTCTCAGTAAGTTCTTAATTTAATGACACAACCACAGATAATAAATGCAGTATTTTATGTATTAACATTTTAACACAATTAATTAACATTTTCATTATTTATGTTTAGTGTTCAATACAGCCACGACGCTGCAATACATGTTCTCTTAGTTGTACTTCAATTATCATACCTTCCGATATTTTACAATAAATGGAACTGATGGATAGGAACGATAGGATCAATATAACTAAACGTTCAACCCACGACGTATGAAAACTATGAAATTTCTATGTAACAATGAAATTGGGTGTGACTGACTATATGCTGCCTGATTTTACCAAATACCAAATTCATTGGCTGTGGTGTTTTACTTAAATTGGTAAATTTATATATCATACAAAGTAACATAAATGTATTTATAAAACAACACTAAATGTTGAACAATTATTAAATTATTTTAATATCGTAAGGAGAGATAAGGGACCCCATTTCTTACATCATTAGCACAGCACAAGAATCGGTTTATGAAATATATTTTCGAAATGGGAAAAGCCATTCGGAAATCCTATTCTGTTAAATTAGGACAGATCTTCATTCGCAAATAGCAAATGATTCCTAAAAGAAAAAAAATCCACTCTAAGGGATACGTTAAGTGGGTAGAAAAGTGAGTTTTATACAGATAAATACATCTATGGAATAATGATAGAATACCGTCTGCGCGAATGACACACGATTGTGACACGATCGTTTAAGTTGTCTTAATCAGTGTCAATGACAGATTCCTTTTCTTCGATTCGAAAATGAAAAATTGCATTTTCAATTAACTGCAATGATCATTAAGCATAGTAATATTTAAATATCGATATAGATTAAAATAACATAGGTATCTATATCGAATAATAATAAAAACATTTTCGTTGTAAATAAGCACTGATTGTTTTTAGTTAAGCATAAAATTTATTGTAAAAATAGTAAGGTTAAGTTTTTAAACAGATTATTTTTATTAATAAGAGAACTAGTTGAACATAGTCCTAATAAAATTAGGTATATAAAATAGAAATATTGGTTAAATTAACAACAATGCACGTCACATACCAATCGATGTAAATCTGCATGATGATTTATCTTCCTAGTAAAAGGCAATATGTTTTATAATTTTAATTCTACTTTCGCATATATAGTTAAAGCTTTATGTAAATTAATATAAAAGTCGTCACTGCAGGTTATGCATGGTTATCAATTATGATCCAGTTCTTTATTATTATGTACCGTGTAGCCGTGACCGGTTAGTGACATTGTTTACAAATACTCATCTTTTTAATTTTTTCAACCATGACCAACATCTCATAGGTCTTGCAGCTTATTTTAACTACTAATGGTAGCAATTTCATTTTTTCGTTATTTTTTAATACCTTATATGAACCTTGTTCGGAGTTTTTTTATTTATATATTTGGCTCATGTGGGTCCTTAGATAATTTAACCCTTAAAGCGCGAACCGTCGATAGATCGACTCTATATTAATGCGTATAAAGTGTGGAGCGTCGGAATACCGACTACTGCGCAGTTTGGTTATAGGTTGAAATTTTGGCTTAGAGAAGTAACGAGTTTACGAGGGAGGAAGTTTCGCCATTATTAGGTGTGTAGTAATAAAGGAGGAAAAGGAGTGACTCGATCTTCGCTAGTTTGTGTACACTGTAAAAATGTCCATGGGGCTTATGGAGAAACATTTTGGTATTTTTTTTTATGTACTCGTTTTCTTTTTTCCTAATTAAATAAATACAGTTAGTTACATTATTTAGTTAAATACAGTACACATATTAAGAAATATGTTTCATTTGAGTAGTTTGATAGGTCCCATTACCCATCACAGAAAGAATCACGATAATCCATCTACATTTAAGGAAAATAATTAAGATCCCGTGCACACTGAACTAAAAAAAGTATTTTTTTTTCAAAATCCTTTAGCAATTTTTGTATTTTATGTCAAAATAAGCTCGGCACTAAAATGGTTAACAATGTGAATACCATTTTAAAACATGAAGTGGAAGTCTCAACGTCATTACGGCTGTTCGTCCAACAAACCCGGAGACGTGTTCTTATATTCTTCAAAATAATCCAATAAATAGATATATTTCAAACTTGGGCGTCGATGTTTATATAACTGAGGATCGTGTCATCCTTTATTTTCCTGAGCGCTATGGCTATAACATATATTTCATCAAATGAAAGAGTTCAGTGCAGTAGGCAGCGACTTGGCTGTGTCTTTGCCATTGCTTTCATGAGCGATGGCAACAACTATCAGTGTGCTTAGTGCGAGTTTTTAACGCTCTCGATAGCGTAAAAGTTTACTCAAATTTGTATGGAGCTGGAACGTTTGCCTACATTGGCCGCTAGGGACGCTGTTTCAACTGCATACGTGTAATTTTTCCGCAATCGAGAGCGTAAAAAAACTCGCACTAAGCACCAGTGCTGCCAGGTGAAAAAATGCCGCTATCGTACCACAGTACAAAAAAAGTCGTACGCCTAAGGAAAATTATAAATAAAAAATCGTACATAGATATTTACATAGGTACGTACAACAACAATATTGAAATAGACCGTGCATGAACAAAATCATTCTATCATTCGTCGTACACGTTGTAGTTGTTCCAACTACAGGAAATATTAAAAGAAAGTTAAACAAATATGAACCCTATTTCTTTCGAGGAAAAGTCTTCTTTCTCTGGGCAATATTGCCAATATTCATTATTTTAATATTCTGTCTAAAGTTTTTCTTGAAGATTTTACGGCTCCGGATACTTGTCTTCAAAGGATTTGTTACAAAATTGCTGCCAGAACTATTTGCATAAAATAATGTTACAATTGATTAAATGTAAAAAAATCGTACGTTTTCAGTATGATTTCGATGCTTCGATCGTACTCGTGTAATATTTGCAAAGTCGTACATACGATTTAAACCCTACAGATGGCAGCCCTGCTAAGCACACAGTAGGGACATAATATATGTTCCCCTGAATAAAAGGGCAATTAAAAAAAGGCTATGCTTTATGGCGCGTTTATTGTTTATCCTACGAAGGTAAATAAAAAGCGGTATTCATTATTGTAGGTCATAATTTAATGCAGTTTTTTTAAACATTTGCTTCTGTTTGACTTATTTTAATATGACAATGGAATATTGTTTGATTTCTAGATTACATATCTATTACATGAAATTATGTATTTTAAACAACTTTTATATTTTAATCAGTATTTGTACAGTTTAATACTATATTTAATGTTTATTTTAAAGGTACTAAAGAAATTAAGTGGTGAACTTTCAAGTTCTCTTCCGACGAAAGAAGCAGAGGTATTCTAGTGGACAACTTGATTATTATAATATTATCAGTACAGTCATCAATCGTAGTTAAGAACTTTGCCCAGACATCAACTTACACAATTTCAGCATCAGGTATAATACATTTTGTAACACATCTATAATAATTATGTTATCTTAATTTTTAAGCTAATGACCGTTTTTATTTTGACTAGCAGGATTATTTCGAATTTTTTTAAATTAATTTCTTTGGGATATCGTGATTAAAATCGTACAGATAAATATAATTGTTACAGATGTGACACAGTACAAGTCTATATCAACTAGCATGGAACTTTGAATTTATTAAAACAAATAACAATTTTGCTCTATAGTAATTCACAAATTATTTTGTAATGCTATTGTATATATTATAGAATATTATTTGATACTTTGTACATATAGCATTTAGATTTTAGGGCAAGAAGTTAGTATAAGGATTTTTGTTGAAATATTTAAATTACGATATCATTTATTTATTATTATAATTTGCTCTATAATTAAGTATCATAAGTAACTCAACAGATAGAAACAAGCGCACAGTATTTAAACAACTTCTTTAGCCCAATCAAAACGTAATTCTTAAAATGCATTAAAATCATTTATTTTTATAATATTATACTCTTTTTTAATTGTCATAGTAGCAAGTGTCGGCTTGTTTAAATTGCAGTCATTCACCGAATCCGATCACTAATTGTTTTTTGGAGAACCATTTTGCGGTATAGCTTTTCTTTAGGATATATTTTACATTTTTCGACCTAATGGAAGTTTTGTCTTTTTATTGTAGATTAAATTAAAAAGACCGATTACCATAATTTAGAATGCGGAACTTAGAAATCAACAGATTGCATAATTTCGCTATAACATCATTTTAAATTTCAAATAAATTAAGTTTTTTTTTTATGTTACACGCGCCAATGTCTGTATGCCGTGTACAGTAGTTAGTTCTCCACAAATGTGTGACAAAGGTGTCTCTATTTAGCCGCCGGATCTTGGTGACAGTAAACTATCACGCCACTACGTTAAAACCCGTAATTGCCAGTCAACATGTAAATTATTTTCAGTTCAAAATCAACAAGGAGCGAGCTGTAAACATTCCNAGTTTTTTTTTTATGTTACACGCGCCAATGTCTGTATGCCGTGTACAGTAGTTAGTTCTCCACAAATGTGTGACAAAGGTGTCTCTATTTAGCCGCCGGATCTTGGTGACAGTAAACTATCACGCCACTACGTTAAAACCCGTAATTGCCAGTCAACATGTAAATTATTTTCAGTTCAAAATCAACAAGGAGCGAGCTGTAAACATTCCCCTATTCAATTCGATCTATAAGATGTTCGTACAAAAATATGTTGCAGTTTCAAACCGCGCGCAGGAACGTCGACAGCGACTCGTTGCGTGTTCACCTGTGTTTGTCTTTATGTCGTGTCAGTCAAAATAATGGGACTAGGAGACAAAACACGTTCAAATTGCTCTAATCGCGTCAATACAAAGTGAACGATTGACGAAGCTTATAATTAATTATAAAACTTTTAACAGACTCAACTGCTCACATTCTGGACGGTGACGCGGCCGGACACCTTGTAAATATTTTCTACAGACTGTGAGTAGCTGACCTCGATATATAAATAATAAATAGCTAATTTATAATTAATTAAAACATTTTTTTTTTAACATTTTATTATCTATTTCCTAGTGAGATTTCAATTATTACTCTGCTTTTAAACATCAGTCACTAGTCGATAACGGTAAATAATAATTATTGTCACCATGAGGGGTGTAGAAGTACGGGAGAGCACCGGAGGGGGACCCAGGTATATTTCAACATAAATATGGAATGTAGCAAACACTCATTTGAAAAGACCCTCGGACAGTGGCGTTCGGCCATCAATTATTCTAACATTAAATTAGATACAATATTTACAATAAAATAGTTACTATGCGTCGTAAATTAACATTTCTCGCATTCGCCGCACTGATATGCATTCCTTGACGTGCGATCATAAATAAATATAAAAGTTGTTTAAACACAGGATTCTGAGCTGCCAGATAGAAATAACACGTTACAATAGGTCACTTATACATCGACGAACCGTACACTGCGAGACGACGGCTCACCTCCCACAATATCAACGTCGTCGAAGATTACAATCGAAAGATTCATCGAACACAATCACGCTTCGATCGCATCTGTCCAAATCAAATTTACCTATGAGGACATACTCGAACGCGGACTCTGCGACGTTACGTCATTTTATTTCATTTCAGTCTTAGTTTTCGCGAAACTCAAAGACGGCGCGAGGAACGCGGAGGCGCGGCGCAATCGGCCCGCTCCCGAATAAATAAATATCAAGTCTATAATACTCCGGGAGACGCCCGGTAATGGAATGTAAGCGTGGAGTGGGGCGGGCGGCGGCGTCACGCGTCGGGCGGAGCGGGCGGCGCGGCGCGGCGGGGCACCATGACCACGGGCGGCGCGCGGGTTGGAGCGCGTGGTGGCGTGCGCGGCGCAGGGCGGGGCGGTGTGCCACGGGGCGGTGCGCTCGGCAGCAGGGTCGGCGAGCCGCGTGCGCCCATACGCACCCACCATCGCGTCGCTTTCTGCAGCAGACCGTCTTTCTTGCCACCGCGCCGCGCGCCTACAGCTTCTGCTGCACCCGCCCACTCGGGCACGTCGCTCACGCATTTATTCGGTGGAGGCTGGAAGCTGCTCCTTGTCAGCTCGGCTTGCTGGAATACGCATCAGGGTATGCTTTCGATTATTTGTCTTTGAGAAAGCAGGCAAATTCTAGTTGTGTATTGATTACGTAGAAGGGGTCTAACGCCAGAACGTATTCTTTTACCTGATAAGCGACTCGGAGCTGTAGATGCGCATCCTGGCCGTACTCGCCATCGGGCAGCTGTATGCTAGGCGGTAGACCGAGCCTCTCGGCAGCGGCTGCGGATCTCGCGCGCGTCTCTTGCTCCACCATCTCTTGTAACCGCCCCACCATGGCTTGCAATTTTTGCTGTTTTTCCCATTCCCTAAAAAGCATGGTTTTTGGTTAGAACAAGTAGTTTATTTACGTGTAAGATGATATTGTATTCGGCTAGGTGGCGGTGGTCTAAAATAGCACCATCCCTTTTTCTTCTCATGGGTGAGAATGGGCAGCACAGAAGAAACAAGTCTGCATTACCGAACAAAGATCTGTTGGTACTGTTGCTATAAAGTGACGGGGCAGTGTTTATTTTAAAATATATTTCAGTTTTTGTAAAACATCGACCCTTGCAATTGACTAGTGCATCTTGGCGCCCGGCACACGGCTTTTTGATACTTTAGTTTAGTAAACCAGCTGGTATTCAGATAAGTTTTTACTGGAGCTCATACATTATCATCACGTGAAGGCTACCCACCTTAACGCATGAGGTTGAAGTATTGAGTGTGACTTACGAGCATTAAAAAGGTATCTATATCTAGGTCTATATCTACATCTAGGTATCATCTCTAGTATCTATATCTATATCTACATCTAGGTATCATCTCTAGTATCTATATCTATATCTAGGTATCATTCCATACTTGAATGGTAGGGATTACATTCTGCTTGTCTTGCAATTGTGTAGACGGAAATTTCGACATCGTCGAGGGCAAACGCGTCACTAAGGTAGCTTTTGGACTAGTGGCTATAGAATTTTATATGCCCTACTTTCTAAAAGTATTGGAAACATTTGGTATTGATTATTTATTGTCAAATGGGCGTTGCCGTTGGATATCCTCAGCAGTTAGGAGTTTAGCTTATAGTATATCTTCTAGCTAATTTTTAAGCGCATATGACTTAGCATTGGCCGACACTTCCACCCTTACAATTTTTGTGGTATTCCGTCGTTTTCTACTCCTCATCAACAATTATGGCTCACATGATTTTGCAATATCGCTCGGAGATGTCTAAGAACATCTTTGGCTGGGTAACCAATGCACTATTTGTCATTCTTGTCCTTCAGGAGCCTCTAAACAACGTCCATATTCAACGGCTTCAACCTAGAATTATCTCCCGCGTTACGGGTGTTCGAAACACACACGAGACAAACAAATACAGCTCAGACCAGAATGTCAAATATTCCACAAAATTATTGATTCCGACCGGCAATTCGTCCCAGACCCTGGTGATACCATCGCTAGGGTAACTAACTACTAGTACTATGCGGCGATTCGCAGAGGAAAGTCATGTCTTATACGTCGAGAAACACAGGAGGAGGGTAGTTAGTTAATTCAGAGTAGGTGGGTACGTTGCAAAAATGATCTATTGTAATACATTGTACAATATGAGCTTTAACAATTCCTCAGTTTTTAAGTATTGCATTTTTATGTAAAGGACACAGACCTTTCTTATTTAAAATTTTTGCTCAATATAGAATGGACAAGTATTGATTTATATAATTAGTATAAAATAAAATAATAATTTACCCACTTCAAGAAAAAAAGGAGTTATGTAGTTTTTTTCATCTCTAGTTTTTTATTTTTTTATTTTGTATTGCTTAGATGGGTGGACAAGCTCACAGCCCACCTGGTGTTAAGTGGTTACTGGAGCACATAGACAGCTACAACGTAAATGCGCCACCCACCTTTAGATATAAGTTCTAAGATCTCAGTATAGTTACAACGGCTGCCCTACCCTTCAGATCGAAACGCATTACTGCTTCACGGCAGAAATAGGCAAGGCGGTGGTACCTACCCGCGCGGACTCAGCAGAGGTCCTACCACCAGTAAGTCCATTTTTGTCGATTTCCCATTGATCTATTCAGGTTTTGTCAAGTTTTCTTGATAGAATATTGTTTGGAATTTTACAGATTTAATCGTTTCAACTGACATGACGCCCCTGTACGTAACGTATATAAACGTGCCTACCAATTCTTGATTTTCTCTTTTCATCGGTACGTTACTCTTATAGGTAAGTTTTTAAAAATTGTTAGAAATTTTTTGTATTATTGCGATTCGAAAAGCAGATGCGGTACTATTATCGAGCCCAGATAGATGGATTTATAACAAGACGATTGAATAATATACTTACCTACTTGTGAAAAAAAAGTTTCGATGTTATACAACTTACACAAATGTAAATTAATATTAAATAATAAGTATACTTACAGTGTGGAATGATGGTGTCTGTGATCGTGCCGCAGGCGCGGCCCCCCCGGCGCGCCCAGCCGCTCCATGCCCGCGCACCCCGGCGCTTGTACCGAGAGCATCTGCAAATCACAACACACTGCTCTCACTTATGTGGTCATCTTCTACGTCAATCGGATTTAGATTTTACTGGTGATAGGACCTCTTGTGAGTTCGCGCGGTTGGGTACCACCACCCTGCCTATTTCAGCCGTGAAGTAGTAATGCGTTTCGGTTTAAAGGGCGGGGTAGCCGTTGTAACTATACCTTAGAATTTATATCTCAAGGTGTGTGGCGCATTTACGTTGTGGTTGTCTATGGGATCCAGTAACCACTTAACACAAGGTGGGCTGTGAGCTCGTCCACCCAACTAAGCAATAAAAAAAAAGGATTTTCTTGTTTACTTGGGACAGCCGTTACAATGAGAACTTCGACCTGATTTCTCAAAGTGGATGGATAGCATTAATGCTGTTATGTCTACGATCTTGATCTACAAGAAAATTATACAGAAATGTAATGTATTATTACACGAGATGATTTTGCATTGATTCACATTTGGAATCACCCAAAATATAATATATATTTTTTGTGATTCTTTGTTTTTTTTCTACAAGCATGACTGCTTTGCATGACTCTTTGACCTTTTAATTTTTCATTGACTAAGTACTTATTTTGTGTTAATACCAAAAATCAGATTACATCATGCTATTTTTATGTATTACATAATTGTCTTTACTGCAGCATTTCAAAAATATTCCATTTTGTTATTTGTTAACAATAATATGATATTCAAGTATGAAAATAAACTACTCTTACTTATTTCCAAGAAGTGTGACTTGAACTTTCTTATCATGTTTTGTAATTTAATCTTCTTTGAGTAATAACATCCGTCTGTATAGTCAATATTAGTTTGTTTTGAAAGCTATTGATTGGTATGCGAGATTCTATTTTATGTGTAGAATTTATGAGGCTTAACAATGTTTTGCTTTGAAATTGATCATGCTGAGTAGTAGACTAAACAATTTGCCACCATCCAATGACATTTCAATGCAATAATTATTGATAGCATATACAATTCCATTGGTTTAAAATATTTCAGATACCTTTAAAATACATGGGTATGTAAAATGGGTCAAATGTTCAAATTTTGTTGTCTCTGGCTCTCATTATCATAAGAATGAAACAAATAAAAAAGTGTTGATATCACTCATATTGGATTTTGTAACATTTTCTAACAAACAAAAAAAAAACATATCTTATTTAGTCAATTTGTGATCTGTTTTGTAATAAACAGTTTAACTTAACATAATTTTTTTATTACAGTTATTTGTATTTTCATTACAGATAATATAATAGATAATGCAACTAGGCAAGCCTAATGGGATTTTTGTGCCTATTCATTCAAATGTTTAGTGACTAAGACAGGATATTTACTCTTAAATATATTGGGGTTCTAAACCATAGTTATATTATTCTCATTTTTATAATATCTTAAATTTTTGGAATATTTTTTAAATCATAATATTAAATAAATTCCCTTGAATATATTAATTGTGAAATATTCATAAATCAGTTGATGTTTTTAAATTTATTTGTCAGATACATTTTAGGGGGAAAATAAGAACCCAGACCTTAGGTTACTCAGTAAGAGTTAAGTAAATTATTATTATTACATGTTTATTTTTTGGGAATAAAATAATTTCATATTTACAATTTCAATTTTTAAAACAGTCTTATAGATAGCAAAGAAAATGTAAGCATGTGAATAATGTATGTAGGTGAAAACAACAACAATGTAATGTCACTTCGTTCACTCAAGCTCATTCAGTCAAATAGATAATAAAAAGTAATTTGTTTTCTACAATAAAAAAACCCACAGCTTCCGATGAGCGTGTTGCTCTGCACATTTTATCAAGTTTGTATGTCACAACTGTGATATGGCTAGAGCTGATTACCGAACTGTCATGAAAATTTATTTAAATTCACACAAACAATGTCTGGGTGTGACGTCGCTATCGGCGCGCCTCTTATCACTTGGCACGCTCCTGCCGTCTCGCGGCCATCCAACTCGCCTCGGGCCTCACTTGTCTCCACTATAAACATTCTTCCACTTTGTCGCAAGCTCATTTACAATTTGTTTTTAAGATTGGTAGATTCCAACCTAACTGCTGATAGTTGTTTGTCTGCATACGTTTGTTTGGATTAAACGATGGTCATTTGAAATGTTTACTTACTATTTGAAACAGTGTCGTCCACAATAATTCTGGTAGGTTTTTCACCTACCGATGACAGGCAGTGTTGTATTCCCTTATCCACTTTTAATGACACAATATATAGTCACTAATAAACAAATCAAATACGATTGACAAACATTTCGAGATTGCACCGCACCGTCACTCAATTTTAGAATTTCTTTTTAGCAGTAAATTTTAAAATAAAACAATCACAGGGTACCAGAGATAAGCGCGTTTACAATAATTTACTATAATTCACTAATAAATAAAATTTGTTATAATGTTATTTACACTATAAAAATAAAATTATTTATTTAATAAAATAACATCTTAATTTCACTATCGCGTATTTCATTACAGAGTTTTGCAGTTCTTTTTTTCATATTGGCAGGGAGACATCTGCCATCGAGCGAGTCTTGTTGTTCAATGACGCGAACGGACGCGGCGCGGCGTTCGCAGTCGCGTAGTGGGGACTGGGGAGTGCGGGAGGGGTTGGCGGTGCACCGGCTGCCCCGATGTCGTCGCACACAACAACAATTTTGATATGGTTGTATTACTGCTACACACACATTTATACGTTCTGTCTAGTTAACTTTGTGTGCGTACTCATTCCGGTAGGTGCAATAATACGATGAAAATTTGACTACTAGTGTGAGTAAAATGTGTTTGTGTGACAACGGACTGTGTATGTAATAGAATGTATAATATCACACATGGAAGTCGAGCTCGATGGCAGCTACTGTTGGTGTTATACATGCGTAGCTATAACAGCAGAATGGTAATAGTGAACGATGACGCGTCGTCGGCTTGCGAGACGAGACGGACAGGGTTGGCATCGTTCAATGATGGAGTTGTAGTCACGTAGAGTATACCTACGTAACCAGTATCCACATTGATAATGTATCATAAGTACATATGAGACTTTGTCAAAATAAATTTTTACTCTTTCAAAACAGTTTACTTTCTTTTTATCTTTGCGTGTCGTATGCTTGGACTAAAAATAATTAGACACCACTGGTTCTGTTTCTTTCTTTTTTTTAATTAGGTAATGAACTGTTTTACTTACTTAATATCGATTAACAAACGAGGAACTTATTTATGATTGAAACGTTTCTAAATATCGAAGTCATCATTTTTTTTAAAATAGAAGATCAATTTAATTATTTTTAGTGTAATGTTTAATGTCAGTAGTTGTCAGTCAACTGAAAGCATATTACTCAATGAGCATGGATTTCACGTTGTCCCATGTTGCCCAACAGACTATCATCGTTTAAGATGTTAAAGATGGGAGAGCTTTTTCAATAGTACGGCATTGATTCAGCTTGATGATCTTTTATTTAGCAGGCATCAAAGATATTCTGAATTTATCCTTTCTTTTTACAGGGCTCTTTTAAGTTAGGTACGGATCAAGTCAATTATGTAACATTCATGAAAAAGTCAAGAAGCATTTGTATTCAGATTTATGTTGGAAACGGCTGACGTAGATTTCTAATTATTGTGACCTGTCTTGGGTATTATTAATGATATTTTATATTATTTTGCAACTACTTTTTTGCCTGCAGCTTCACCTGCGTGGACAGCCGACGACGTTAACTGATGCTGGGGTTCATAAAACATTAACTTTTTTTTCTACCTATGCTGATAGCCTTCAGAGGCTATTTCAGCGTAATCTTAACTAGTAGGTGAGCTCACGGGGTTCAAACCTGACGACGTTGCTAACACGAACCCTAGCAAGAGCCGTTCTTCGCAGAATTTACCACCGGTTCGGAAATGTGATCCACTGAGAAGGTCCGACGAGAAACTCAGTGGGCTGTGTCTGACGGATTCGACGACAACGATGACCGGTGCTTGAGGTACCTAAAAGCACCGTTAGTGGATCGGGATGATAAACATTGACAATGTCCTTGAGCCACCCAATAAACTCAGTTGAAACCAGAGATCGTAGTTTCAATTGAATTGTATCAAGTAACGATAACAACAGTAAAACTATTTTTATATGTATAATTAGTTTTTATGTATAATAAGTATTTTTGTGGATTTCCATCTATTTCAAGTATTTTGTACTCAAATTTTAACTGAAGTCGTTGTGGTCCAAATGGTAAGATTTTTTGTGTATTCGTAGCGATACGACTAGGCCGATGTTGAAATCTCGCCGGCAGATACCAATTTTGTCTAATAAAATACGTACCTACTTAACTCGTACGTACTTACATGTTCACGAACGACTTTCACAATTAAGGAATAATGTCGTGTAATAAAAATAAAACCCGCAAAAAATATAATTGCGTAATTACTATACAAGATACATATACCCTCAAGTCGTAAGGTGAGAGGTGGCATTTACACACATTGTCAAATCTATGGACACCGTTATCCATTTAATTAGAAACTAATTTTAGGTTAATCTTATGCTTAATGGATACTTAATCTACCATCGCATACATAATAGGACTGATAGTTTATGGAGCAGAGAGTGACACAAGCAACCGTTGTTAACTCATTTCACCCTTTTTTAAAAATTTAACGCCGCTCAAACCGCGGGGCATCTCTAGTAATATAAAAATAATTAACACAATCACAGATGCCGCGAACGAGTCGTTAGGTTTTATACTCAGGAATGCTACGGAATTAAGAAATAATTCTATTACATATAGCTATATAATAGCTATGTCAGAAGTAAGTTAGACTGGGGCTGCGACGTTTGTAAGTAGAGTTACATATAAATCTATGTTAACAGCATTAAGAGTATTAAAAAGAAAGTTTGGCCGCATGCCATAACGTTTTAGACCACTTACCTAGTAGTATAGTGGCAGGGTTGAACATTATATAATGTAAACATTGAGTGACGGACCTGACTGACATCTTAAGTTTGTTATCCACGTCGAGTTATCAACAACTCTGTTGACTTTCAATGCATCCTAAATAAATGATCTTTGAAAGAGCCATCCAAATTGCATCGCCTCCCCATTGCTCTTCTTAGTCCGCGTTTTGTTAGAACCAATTTAGGCAAACATCCGCTTGTTTTTCGTCTGGTTAGCCTTTAGTAAGAAAGTCTTGATATATTTACCGACTTCCTCAACTAATTAACCTTAACTTTAGTAAGAAATAAATTCACAAATGTTGTTTTTACCTTATCAACCCTAATATATATTTATTACTATAACTATTTTACGTTTTACTTTAGGTTTTTTATTTTTGTTGTTTCGCTTTCTTTAATGCATATTGAGATTGTCAGTACAGATATCAAGTGTTTAGAGCGTTAGCTTTTTTTCTTATCTATTGCAACTCTCTCCACTACTGTTGGCAATACTTGTAAATTAATAAATAATTCGTTTTAATTACGTTGATAAGGCAATAAGAAAGAAAAGAAAAATCGAAGGACAATATTTAGTGGAAGACTCACAGTGTTGGTAGGAGCATCGGGTGTGGCGGCAACGTTTCTTCTTCGCAAGTGCGGACGTGCCAATGCACCCGCGGCACATAACAGCACAGCGGCGCCAATACATGCGCCTGCCCACCACCACCCTGAAATGTGAAGTCACATTCATGGAATCCAATATTGTAGTGGACACAACAATATAAATACGGATAAAGAATGCTGACAGATACATGGTATGAGATAAGGCAGCCAAAAGCCGGCAATCCGTTCCAAATGTTAATCGAAACAGAGCGTTTTATCTTTTTTCACTACTAAGGGCCGATTTTTTAGTTGTCACATAAAAGTTGTTCACGAAATGAAATATAAAGTAATTAAGCTGTTATATAAATTTCAGTGAAAAAGTGATTGCATTTGTTTTAGATTTAAATTCAGTCGGTTTGTAATTTAATTGATAAATAGCCACATGATTGGAAAGTTAGGCTTTATTGGATAAACGAAAAGAGAATTTTGTTAAAATGGTTTAGTTACTTGAAGTTTGAGAAACGTAGCCCGTACTCGTAGCACCATCGTAGAGGAAGCCTGTAGCCAGTGAATGTATTTTTAAACTGGTTTCAAAGTTCTGTACGTTTAGATAGCTGAGTAAATTGTTAATTTAGTATCATCAATTGTCTTTTGAACAATAAAAATCAACTATATTAATATATATGTATATCATCATACATCCATATATTTATAAAAAAAATTTCAAAGGATCGGTTCATTTTATTTACATAATATGGTTTTAAACACATATAAAACGTTACATAATTATGCGAGCGCGGGTATAGTATAATGTTCGCGCACTAACTGTGCCACGTTAATTTAGAAACAAACTAAAAAAAACATTTGAATTCCACTGATTTCATTAGAACTTTGAGGGAGCATGTGGTATAGAGCATAAAAGGTTGTTTTTTGCTAATTTCGAGATCACGAAATAAAAATCAATAGCACCTGCAGAAATCAGACCAGAGCGCGATTCGTTGTCTTCTTGTTCAGCAGTTCCTAATTTCTTCTCTGCTATTAATTAACGAATATTGTGGATGTGAACCATTACGATAAAAGTCTAGTGACAGCCAATTTTGATGGGTGTATTTTTGAGAAAAATGCAGAACTGCATTTATTTATCAGACACACAAAAAAAGTAAGAGTTTAATTAAAAATTAAAAATAATTATTTGTTCCATATCTACCGATGTGTATGTCCCTTTGGTTAATAAATCGATATTTATATATTTTTTAATCTAGTGTTTAAACTGGTAACAAAAAGCACGTAGATTTAAATAAGATGTATGTATTGGGTACGCATCTATTTTCGCACGAGAGTTGTTTGCGTGGTTGGGTTAATTTTAGCAACCTTAATAAGAATATCTCGACATTCAAGCGAAGCATAGCGCGTACACTCAAATTTAATACGAGCAATAGAATTTGTTTATCGTGTGTTTAAGATTTATAGTACACAGCAAAATGAAAATGTCACATACCTAATAGAAATTTGATTTTGTAGTTAGTTAGATCAGTTAGTATTTCTAAAATCAAATCACGGAGCTGGATTCTTGTGTTAATTTTGGAAGGATTTGCGTTTTATTTAATATACTTGGTTTTCGATATTAATTTGACGCAAACTACTGACGTATCCTGTCTTTCTTTTTTTTATCTACCCTTTTTAATCGTTTGAATTTTAACGGTTATTGATTGCATTGCTGTTCTTCATAATAATAATTTGATCAAGCGATACAGGGTGTAAGCTAGTCGTTCCATAAGCTAAAATGTATATACTATTTTAGAATAAACAAAACAATATTCAATAGAGCTCAACCCGTAATCCAAAGCTAAGACAGCTGGTGAATGCCGGCACCGCCTCACACGAGACCGTTGACCTCTCATGTCATTTAATTTTAATTGTATTACATTGCGCGTAGGATAATACATTAACTGAATATGTAAGCTTTTGATAGAGATTTTTTTAAATAAAAAATAGAAGCGAACCAGGACTATTTTTGCTTTTGGGATTGATCCTTTTACACCCGGTATTTAGTTTGTGGTTCAAGCCAAAACA